TGTTAAACCCCATTTCATTTCATATGTTTTAAAAAAATGTCGAACTCACTCACCAAGTGGTCGTAAAACTCTAACTAATTGTTGTGTAACCAATAGAGCTTCAGATGTTATTTTATAAAACGGATCTCCAACTGCATGCACGATTGGCTGAAAAATAAAATAATATGATAGATCTCATTGGCTGAAATATATCTCATCTTACAATGGATCTCATTGGCTGAAATATCTTATTATACAAGTGATGGAGGATCCATAAATTTCAGTACAATGGACTTAAAAGTTGGCATGCGTGTTCCTTCGACAATTGTACATCGATTGAGAGAGAGAGAGATGAGGTTTAAAGTCCACTCGACACATACTAGGTCATTTCGGCACTAAAATATGGTTTTATTTTATTTCAATAATTCGTTTGCACGTAGGAGTCTTTAGCAGTGGGAGGAAACCAGAGGACCCAGAGAAAACCCACGAGGTTGGACAGGCGACCCTACTCCTTGTCACGTACAACCAGGGATTCGAAACCACGCCAGATGACTCAATGACAGGCCTTATGACAGGCCTTGATGGATTTCGATGTTTGATACGACATCACGATTTCAAAAAGGCCATGATGACATTGCTTCTGGTTCAGTGTACACCTGTAATTAGGGCTGTTAGTGTTTTCTTCAAAACTAGACTAATATATTGTATGCATTTCAATACTTAATGTGGGTGTGGGGGTGGGGGTGGGGGTGGATGTAACCAGAGGACCCGGAGACAGAAAACTCACAAGGTTGGATGACGACCCTACTCCTTGTCACGCACAAACTGGGAATCAAAACAATGCCAACTGACTCAATGACAAATCTTATGACCTAAAGCACACACCCATAACGACCCAAATGAATAATATAATACTTTATTAAAGATTTATAAAGTGACATGTCATGTGTAACAGTACAGTATTAAAGATTTATAAAGTATACTTACTGGAACAAGTACATTAACATGTGAATGAAATACAGCTGGTGGATGATGGGTTAAAATACAGTTTATAAACGATAACGTATCAATCTTCATATTAGAACTAGAATTCTTATCACTGAAATATAAACAATAACATTATCCTCACATGAGAGAGAGAGAGAGACAGACAGACATAGAGAGGGAGATGGGGTTTAAGGTACACTCGACACAATGACAAACCTTTATACAGCGCGCACACGCTAACCATTCAGCCATCCAACCAACGTACATATTAGAACAGAAATGGAAACTTGTCAAGCTAAAATCTATGGGAATGGTCGATTATCAGTCCGGAATGTTTCGAATCGACAGAATTGCAATCGAGTGACGCGGAATTCTATCCTGTTTTAATGATGTCAGTCCCGACCACGGAGGAGGTGTGAGTATAATCGTGATGTAACTAAACACAATGAATATGTTTCAGTTGTCATGGTTGGTCGAGATATTTTCTCATGCTTTTGGCTCATGCATTCGGCTCCCGAAATCCACCTTTTCACACGATTGTCACTATTTTTGGGATTAAGAGAATTCAATTCATTCAATCAAGTACCCCATATAAATTCCACAACTCATGAGAGTTACCTACCCTAGCGAATATTGTATACAAGAGTTACCTACCCTAGTGAATATTGTATACAAGAGTTACCTACCCTAGTGAATATTGTATACAAGAGTTACCTACCCTAGTGAATACTGTATACAAGAGTTACCTATCCTAGTGAATATTGTATACAAGAGTTACCTACCCTAGTGAATATTGTATATAAGAGTTACCTACCCTAGTGAATATTGTATACCAGGAACAAGAGCAGCCAGATGATTAGTTAATGCCCCAGGTAAAACTAGAACTAATTCTGTGAGTAAACTAAAACAACCTTGACGTGTTTTAATACTCTTCTCTTTCAACTGTTTATGTATGGCTTTAATTATATCTGGTACCTGCATTTCTAACATCGTTAATGGTCTGTAAATAAATCAAAATTAAATCAATGAAATAAAATGGTGTTTAACGTCCTAATGTTCTGCCCCAACTGGGCTAATGAAGACGGACATACATGATACATTATGCTATGAAGAGAATTTTGACCGGGCAGTGGCACTATGGACTACCCTAGTATCGAATTCCAACTGCCAAGGGATCTCTTACGTGCGAACCAATGTATACACAGTTCCCATCCGAACGACTAGACAGCACTAGCACATTCATTTTCATCTTAATGCTTCGCTAGGTCACAGGAATCTTTAGTAGTGGGAGGAAACTGGAGGACCCAGAGAAAACCAATGAGGCTGAACATGTGACTTCTGTGTGTCACGTACAATCATACAGTGTGCTAGGAGGGAAATTTTGCCCGGGCAGCGCCACTACAGCCTACTCTTATATCGAATTCCAACTGTCAATGGATCTTTTACTTACACGCCAATGTGCACACGGGTCACGGGTCCTCAGTTTTACATTCTGTCCGAACGACTACACAGCTGTCCTTGTCAGACCCTGCATCCCGCATTACTAACAAGGGGGAACCACGCCGGAAAATCTGTATGGATGAACTTTTTCGGCCAATGCAGGGATAGAACACCGGACCTCCAGACTAGCGAGCCAGCGTCTTACCCACTTAGCCACCGTGATCCCCACCAGACCCTGCATCCTGCACTACTTACAAGGGGAAAACTCAACCAAAAATTTTGAGGGAATTTCCTGGTCAACACTTGGATGAATCCTTGGAACTCCTGATTTTAAGAGTCTAGCAGAGTCTTATTCTCTGAGCCACCATCCTGTTTAATCTGTAATATCGATCTTGTCAACATAAACCAAGATTAAATTAAACCCCTTACCCTTCATCTTCCATACTTTCTGGATTAGCTGTACTAGTTGGTCGCGTCTGTCGTAGTAATGTGATATAGGCGTGAAATATATCAGCTTTTACATTCTCTTCTCGTTCTGAAATAAAATAAAAAAAACTTTGTAGTATGGGATTTTCCACAGGATATTTTAGGTCAAGTCTGCAATTAAAACTATTTACTATTACTAACTGCGTAATGTGAGGCAGGAGAATTCTTCCTGGACAGCAGTCTCTTTAACCACATTTTACTTCAAATTCCTAATGTTAAGGGATCTTTTACGTGCACCAAACTGGAACAATAAATATTTCATTAACAAACCTTTAAATCTAGGAGAGAGAGAAAGAAATGGGGTTTAACGTCCATGTGACTCAAACTAGGTCATTTCGGGACTAACATATGGTTCAATTTTAATTCAATAATTTGCTTGCGCGTAGGGGTCTTTAGCAGCGAGAGGAAACCAGAGGACCCAGAGAAAACCCAAAAGAATGGACAGGCGACAGGGGGATCGAAACCACGCCAGTTGACTCAATGAACAACCTTATGATACAGCACCCACGTGCTAACCATTCGGCCATCCAACCCACCTGACACAGTACGATAAACAATCACAAACCTTTGAATCATGTAATTAAGGGAGGTGACACAGTACGATAAACAATCACAAACCTTTGAATCGTGTAATTAAGGGAGGTGACACAGTACGATAAAAGTCTGCCAACATTTCATGTCTGGTTGCTATAATAGCATCTAAACATTTAGCTGCTGCTCGTCTAACCTTCCAACTCATATCGTCATCATCACTGTATTCTTCCTCCGATCCCCTGTAAAACACAAATGTAACAATGTCAATAAATCGCAAGGAGAAAGTTTTAACAATCCATTATGAACTCTGTGTATAAAGCTTTAAAAATAAAAAATGTGAATGGAAAAATTTTTGACAGGAAAACATGAAATAAATGAAATGAGGTTTAACATAATACTGTTCTGTTCAGACTGGGCTAATGAAGAAGGGTATACGCCATACAGTGTGCTATGAGGGAAATTCTGCTCAGGCAGCGGCACTACGGCCTACTCTTATATCAAATTACAACTGTCAAGGGATCTTTTACATGCACACCAATGTATACATAGGACCTTGATTTTCCGTTCCATCCGAACGACTACAGCTGTCCTTGTCAGCCCTTCTTTCCTGCACCACTGACAAGGGTAAACTACGTCAGAAAATCGTGATGAACTTTCTCAGTCAATGCAGGGATCAAGCACGCCACATCCAGTCTAATGAATACTGTCAAGAGAGTGGCATTTCTGCTTACCAAATTCAAATTTTAAGGGCATGGGACCTTATTCTTTTGTCACATTCCAGGAACAAGATGTTGTTTCTCATCAGGTATTCCCATCCTGCACCACCCACAAGGGGAGACAACACCGGAAAATACCAAAGTACTGGCTACTAGCCAACACCAGGATTGAATCCCCAACCCACTGGATACTGAACCAGCGCCTTACACAATAAACCACCACTACTCCAAAATACAGAAGAACAATTTTCTAAGTAACTGGTCTATTTATTTCTTTTTGCGAAACAGGAATGAATATTTTTCAGATAACTTCCATTAAAGGGGCATTAGTTAAGATTAGATAAAGAGCTGACAGTTCTTGCTACAAGTTCAAAAATAGATAATGTAAACAGAATATATTGAAAATTTCACTCAAATTACTTCATTCTGAACCGAGATATTAGCAATTCAATTTTAGGCTAGTCTCTGTCTTCATTACTAACGTTGGTATGATAATAACCCAAGTCTCGATTATCCATTTTTACGTTAAATGCATTCAAATCCAGTAAATATCGCAGGCTAGCAATGGCATCGAGAGTTGATTATGTTCTTGGTAAATTAATAAATATCTAATTAATAATTTATATAACATTTCAGGCCTAAGAAAGACCTGCAATGGACAGATTTAGCTCTTGTATAATGTATGTTTAATAAATAAAGTAATAAACAATGTCAACATACTCTTCATCATCTTCATCCGCCTCTGTATCCATCATCTCATCACTATCTTCATCATCATCGTAATTATAGTTAGGATCATGACATAAATACTGTAAACATATTCCTATTATCTGTAAAATAAATAATAATTATATAAACATCAGCCTCTGTATCCATCATCTCATCACTATCTTCATCATCATCGTAATTATAGTTAGGATCATGACATAAATACTGTAAACATATTCCTATTATCTGTAAAATAAATATTAATTATATAAACATCAGTGGTCTGATCCCTATAACATCTCTAAATACAATCATTAGTGGTCTGATCCCTATAACATCTCTAAATACAATCATTAGTGGTCTGATCCCTATAACATCATCATCGTAATTATAGTTAGGATCATGACATAAATACTGTAAACATATTCCTATTAACTGTAATATAAACAATAATAATATAAACATCAGTGGTCTGATACCTATAACATCTCTAAATACAAATCAAATAAGTGACATGCACACAATACGATGTTCTAAAATATTCTGACAGAGTTTGCAACAACAATTGGGCAATAAAATGTGAGTTACTTCCCTCTGCCCAACCGCTTTGTATTTATTCAATTATTTGATTGGTCGATAAAAATAGCACATGGACCCTGGATTTGGTGGAGTAGAATGAGACGACATCACTGAGGATGATCTAATACAGACAATTTAGCTAATTCAACTTACCTCGGTTATAAACGGTGAAACTTCTTTAGGACATCTTCTGACGAATGATTCGAAAGCTTGTAAACAATATTCACGTAGTTCGTCGTCATCTTCACGACAATATCTCACAATTAATGGTATTATTTTCTCTAGATGTTCCCCAAAACGATGTCCTGCTTGTCGACTGTCAACATAAAAAAAGGATATCATCAACTCAATATAAATATATGGTTGCCATGCAAGATACGTCCACATTTTGCAAAATATGAACAGAGAACGAGCAAATAATGTGAAGTTTATGGTCCGATGTGCGTCAATATCGAAAGGAACTAAGATCTTTGGGATATAAACATATATTTTAAGTTTCATCAACATCGGATAAAAATTGTGACTTCTAGCTGGTCCACAACCTTGGTATTACATATGGTTACAATATTTGCGTATAAGGGAAGCTGCCACATGGACAAACATGGGCGACAGCATAATACATTCACACAAAAATTATTCAACTTCAAAACTTTATGTGACCTGGACTACTTTCTATTCCTGTTAGTCCCTGTTATCCAGACTAAGAGTAAAAGAAACAATATATATACTGCATATCTTGAGGATTTCAACAAAATTTCCATACATAGCACTAGCAGTAGTTCAAATTTCCTCAACTACCATGTAGAAAATAGTGTGTCTGTGTGTATGTGTGAAATAGTTTTATTTAACATCCGCTTCCACTGAAGTGATATTGCAGACAATCTGGTTAACTTAGCCTTTTTATACCCGCTATCAACAAGAAAAACATCAATATTTTACCTGATAGCTCCGATACACTGTATGTAAGTTCTAGTTGTGGAAGTTGATGTATTTTTCGATAACTCAGACAGTAAAAATTCTATTAACTCTAGAAATAATGTGTTATTACAACTCATCACAAGATGACCTGAAATATATATAATTAAACATGCATTATATGCTTATGGATAATTGAGACTTTGTTAATTATCGTGACAGTGCTAGAAATGACAATCAAGGCTACAAAGATTTTAAAATAAGGTTTTCTCAGTTTAGAGTGAAGAAATTTGACTGAAATTTTCAGCTTATTCCGCTTAAATTAAATTTAGGCCAGAAATATTATCTAAATTATTAATTAGACATTTATTAACCTATCTAGACCATAATCAACTCTTGATGCCATCTTATGTGTCCAATTTTCGTTGGATTTGGATCCGATCTGCTGTTCAATGCTCATTGGTGATAAAACGCAAAAAATGGATAATTGAGACTTTGTTAATTATCGTGACAGCGCTAGAAATGACAATCAAGGCTACAAAGATTTTAAAATAAGGTTTTCTCGGTTTAGAGTGAAGAAATTTGACTGAAATTTTCAGCTTATTCCGCTTAAATTATCTAGACTAACATACGGTTCAATTTTATTTCTATAATTCGCTTCCTTGTAGAGGTATTTAGCTGTGGGTGGACCTGGAGAAAACCCATAAGGTTGGACAGGTGACCCTACTCATTTGTCACGTTCAAGCAGGGAATCGAAACCACGCCACTGAAATCAATGACAGACCTTATTGATTTCACTCACACGCGCTAACCACTAGACCACCGTTACAAATTGAAATAAACTTTTAGAATCTTACCAATGGCTATTATTGTCCTCTTTCTAACAGCTAATCTGGGACTGGATAATTGAGGCAACAATGCCTGTAGAATAGAACTATGGAAACTGACCAAAAGACCTGTAAAACAAAGCAGAATAGAGTTTAACATATAGTCAGTTACAGCGTCCTTACTCCTTGTCATGTACAATCTTGGCAATAACAATCTAAGCTGAAGTGTTACACTACTCCCAACACCCCCACCTCCTACTAACTTGTTTTTGTGAAGTACAGGGGTTCGTGGGATACAGTAGTTTTTACTTCATGTAAAGACAAACAGTGAATCTTTTTGGTGTATTATTATCAAGTTCTGAAATGGAATGGGGTTTAACGTGAGAGAGAAAGAAATTTGGTTTAACATCCACTCGAAACTAGGTCATTTCGGGACTAACATATCGTTTAATATTATTTCAATAATTCGCTTGCACGAAACAAACTAGGTCATTTCGGGACTAACATATGGTCTAATATTATTAGGCCTTATGATACAGCACGCACGTGCTAACCATTCAGTGATCCCCCACCCCCCCCTGCGGTTTAACATCCTACTCCTACTGGGCTTATGAAGACAGGCACGTGCCATACAGTGTTGTATGAAGGGAATTTTGCCTGGACAGCGGCGCTATGCTATGGCCTACTCTTACTTCGAACTTTCTCTGCCAACGCAGGGATAGAGCATATGACCTCCAGGTTAGCGAGCCAGCGTCTTTCCCACTTAGCCACCGCGGCTTCCTAATCAACTTTGAACGGTGTAATAAATGAAACATTAAAATATGGACGTATAAAACAACCAAGGTATATTTAAAGCAGAAATATCTCACCTCCGAATCGACTTAATAAATCACCGAGTATATCTAAAGCTTCTAATTGTACTGATACATCTTCTTGCTGTAATAACAATTATCATAACAAACCTAATAGTCAACGTGCATCATTTTAAGGTTTCGGAAAATAGCAAATTTTACAATAAATAAAGAAAACAAATGAAAATATCAAATATAACATCTTGGTTTAGATTCAATCCCATTGGAAGGAGATTTAAAGAACATAATTGGTGTTAGTCATTATCACATATATGTGATAGAACTGGTTTAACATGTTACAACTATAATTTTAACACAGAGATCATTGCTACGATACATGCGTTATGAAGCTTTCAAGAAAGGGAAGTGACGAACGCAAAAGGAAGACACAAGTTATATGTGATAATGACTGACACCAATATTGTCCTTTAACAAAAGATAGTGAAAACTATGGTTGGCACTGTCTTGTAGTGACTATGTCCTTTTTATTTCTACACTGGATGCTAAACGCTTGTTGTTTTAATTCAATAAATCTTTGTAAATACTGAACACGATGGAAACATTTTTGGAGAGAGAGAGAGAGAGAAATGGGGTTTAACGTCCACTCACCACAAACAAGATCATTTCAGGACTAACATATGGTTCAACTTTATTTCAATAATTGGCTTGCACATGGTGTCTTTAGCAGCGGGAGGAACCGGAGAAAACCCATGAGGTTGGACAGGCGACCCTACTCCTTGTCAATTACAACCGGGGAATCGAAAACATGATAGTTGACTCAATGACAAACCTTCTGATACAACTGGCACTTGCTAACCATTCGGTCATCCAACCTCCCAACCATTTTTCGATTGATATTTCTTTTAGAGATTCAACTTTTACAATATGGGACTCAAAATTTCTCAAATGAGTGATCTTGAATGACATGTGAACCGTGTTCGGATCTCTGGGTACTAACCTTAGCTATAGCACTAGTTAATCGTCCTGTGATTTTTTTACAAATATTAGCTGCTAGAGTTGTAGATGATGGTGGTAACTCACTGATAACAGTCTTTAAACCTAGAATACATTATACAATACATCAGTTAATATAGGTCTAGCATAGTGATTCTCAAACAGTGTGCCGCAAGATCTTCCTACGTGTGCCGCAAAATTTTGAATGGCACACCAAGAAAATTTCTCACTAAAGAAGCCAGTTATTTGACTGATAAAATTCAAAACACTGCAATAAAGTAAGTTCATGCCTGTGTTTTTCTTTATTTAGTTCGAGTCATTCTATGTGTCTCTGTCTACGGTTGTATGCCGTCTATGACTTTCCATGTTTTTATTTTGCAAAATTCAAATATTTTTCATATATATTTAGCCAGGTGTGCCGCTATATTTTTTGTGTGTTCCAAGGTGTGCAGTTGCAAAAAAAAGGTTGAGAACCACTGGTCTATCATGTTCATTGGATCAATTTCTGTGAATAAAATATTGTTAATAAAAAATATATTCATCATGCTCTGAACATGATAGAAGAAAGGTGTTAAAATATAAAATACCCTTATTTTATTTCTGACACAAGTTAAACAGGTCTATTTATGTTAATACTGCAGTGCGGCCATCACCACACGAATAATACTTTCTCTTATACTTGAAAGCACCAACATTAAAGCGATCACAATCTGATTAAAATACAGATCTAGATTTCATTTTTTATACGGGATCACGTGGCTAAGTGGGTAAGACGCTAGCTCGCTAGCCTGGAGGTCGGGTGTTCGATCCCTGCATTGCCCGAGAAAGTTCATCCAGATTTTCAGTCGTGGTTCTCCCTTGTCAGTGATGCAGGACGGAGTGGCTGACAAGGAAAGCTGTCTAGTCGTTCGGATGGGACGAAAAACCGAGGTCCCGTGTACACATTGGCGTGCACGTAAAAGATCCCTTGGCAATTGGAATTCGATATAAGAGTAGGCCGTAGTGCCGCTGTCCGAGCAAAACTTCCCTCATAGCACACTGTATGGCGTATGCCCGTCTTCATTAGCCCAGGTTAGGAGCAGAACAGTAGGACGTTAAACTCCATTTCATTTCATTTCATTTTTTATACAAGTACAAATTAGATGATTTTGGGTGATTTTAAATGATTTTTACAACTTTTAAAACAAAGACTTGATATTAAACGAATGTGAAAGAAATTAGTGCTAGATACACCAGATTAAATGATACCCGGGTGACAGTGAGAGTACCAGGTTTGCCGAGTGTGTATTTGATGTGAGAAACTCTAATCAAATACCAACGCTCTCCTACAAGATATTATTAAATTATCAAGGTAATCAACAAAGATCGACACATGTTTTATGCTCACAAATAATTGATTGGTGATTGCTTGTCGGTTAACACCCACTGATTGAAGGCCGGATAATGCAAATCGCGTGACAGGACCAATGATTGAAGGCCAGATTAACCAATGTTGATTAAACGCAAATTGTGTGACAGGACCACTGCTTGATGTCGGAATATTCAGAATCCGGGCTACTCAAAACTCTTTTGGTTGAAGTAATATACTAGTAAGGAAATAAATCGGGACATGAAAATGACGGATTTCACAGAATGTTGATGTATTCAGATGTTGGAAGTGACGGAGTTCACTGTACTAGTATTTGAAGATGTCTTACCTATACTAGATATATCTCGTAGTTGTTCTTTATCTGATAACATATTACTACATAACGTATCAACAATCGTCTCTACTTGAAACTCTTTTACTTTATTTACTAGTGGACCCAAACTACAAAAAACATATAACTAAAATATTTATAACAATGGATATCTTTCTGTCTTAAGGACAGCAGTCAGTCAACCACTCCCCTTCCAAAAGTCAGCAACCACTCCCCTTCCCAAAGACCAGTGATCACAACAATGCTCAAGGTCAGCCCCCAATGACCACACCCACTCTCAAGACCAGTGACTACACCCACTCCCAAGACCAGTGACAACACCCATTCTCAAGACCAGCCTCCAACGACCACACCCAAGATCAGTGATCACTCCCATTCTCAAGGCCAGCCTCCAATGACCCCTCCCAAGGCCAGAGATCACTCATATTCTCAAGGAGAGCCTCCAACAACCACTCCCAAGGCCAGAGATCACTCATTCTTAAATCCCTCCCAGATTTAAGACCAATGATCCCTCCCGTAATCCAAGATAAGTCATTCCTACAACTATTAGGACCGGTGATGTTAAAATAGATGTTGTGTTCGCTACACAATGATAATTATAACTACGCATCCTATACAAATATTTAAAAAAAATTCTCACCATTTAACAGCCAAGTTCTGAACTTCTCCGTTTTTATCTTCCAGTAATTTTAATAACATCTTCACCACCTGAAACCCATAGAAAATAAACAGATTAAAAAAATATAATAAATATTGAATACAGAAAGGGGCTTGTCTGGCCCTTAATACACCCACCAGCAGTACAACTGTCTGTAGAAACTCTATAATCATGTCAATAAATCCTGTTGAGCAAACTTTAAATGTTTATTCTGACATCTTGGGGCTTTAAATGATTAAAGTTTACTAACCTTTCGTTCACTATCATCATCTAATTTGATTGAATCTTTCTGTAATTCTCCCATCAAATCATTAGTGGCCATAAAACGGAAATCTTTATCACTTGATGTCATCTGAAAGACAGGGAATACTCAGTAAATTCAATCTACCCAGAACATGTAGGGAGAGAAAGACAAGTACGTATTCATGGGGTTTAACATTCATTATACACAGTACCTAGCACTGAGAGTGGGAAAAAGAGAGAAAAATAGAGAAATGGTCTAATGAAGACGGGTATATGCCATACAGCATGCTCTGACCGAACGGCACTATGGCCTACTCTTATATCTAATTCCAACTGTCAAGGGATCTTTTACGTGCACGCCAATGTATACACATGGCCTCAGTTTTTCGTACCATCTGGACGACTAGGCAGCTGTCCTTGTCAGGCCCTCCATCTTGCACCACTGACAAGGGGAAACCACGTCGGAAAATCACGATGAACTGTCTCAGCCAATGCAGGGATCGAACATGCGACCTCCAGGCTAGTGAGCCAGCATCTTACCCACTTAGCCACCATGGCTCCAGAACGATAGAGAATATAATATAAAATAGACCACAGACGATCATATTCCTTGCTGTGTACAATTCAGCCACCCAACCCCCCCAGCACTAAAAAAGAGAGAGACAGCTCCTAACATCACCCAGGCATTATAACCACATTCAATGTGGGCCAATAAATATTAAATGCTAGTGTCACTAATGACACTATTTATTTTATCATACAGGTCAAGAATAAAGTTGTTGATTAAACATGTGTTTCATTTGTTTTGTGGGTTGACAATCTGTATTTGTTATGCAGGGTTCCCGCGACTTCGTCAAACATTTTTTCAAGGATATTCAAGGATAAATATACGTCAAATTCAAGGATTTTCAAGGACATTTTTTAGCCTAAAGTTACAATTTTTCATCTTAAAAATAACCAAAACATTACCAACTATCGTTATAATCTCATATTTAAAAGGAATTGAAGACATTTGAAACAAAATAAAGGATCTCAACTGAAATTCAAGGATATTTTCCTATTTCCGGGAAATTCAAGGATATTCAAGACCTTGAAAATGAAATTTTAAATTTAAGGATATTCAAGGATTTTCAAGGACTGCGGGAACCCTGGTTATGATGTACTAGTCTTGTAAATCATAAACTATGGCTGCACAATATAAGGCTGCAGTGATCCGCTAACTTTAACCTCACGATATCATATGTATCACAGTATGGACCGGACAATATGAAATATATCACAGTATTTGTCTTTCCGAATTTACTTAAAAAATAAAAACAAGTACATGACAATGTCACATTATTAGCCACAGATTTTTTCCATCTGGTGTTTTTAATCCAAAATGTTGTCATATCCGTGACTGTGGTTTGCTGGAGGTGAATGTGTTTTCGGTGTGATAGGTGTCGCATTGCCGGAAGCCATCTTTCCTGCTAGTCACATAAACTACAGGGGAACATAACTCTGCATGATAGTTGAGTTTCGGAAGAAAATGGACGGGTAAAAAAATCTGTACCGTTTACCGAAAGGCAATACTGAATTTTAAAGTACCCTGAACCGAACTTTGGCATGTATACTGTGGTTAATTTTGCGCAAGTGCTTAATTTTGCGCCATCATTTTCTTGGTGGCAAGCCCTGTTCTGGATGAATTCTTTGAAAATGACTTACTCAACATATTTACATGTAATAAACTATACACATACTTATGGAAAAACAGCTACTTATTTATTTGGGCGACGTTTCGAAGAGTATTAGCTTGACCACTTTGAGAGAATACTCTTCGAAATGTCGCCCAAATAAATAAGTAGCTGTTTTTCCTTAAAGTAGCTAAGTCTCAATATCATCCAAAGTCTTACACGTTGAAAATGCGAATTATTTGTCAATTCAAATCAACATTGATGTTGTGATCTTACCAAGAAAAGGCAGGCTTCTGATATCCAATATTTAAGATAAAATAAATGTTTTACCATTGGTACACGAATCGTGTACCATAGTGCGTTTTAGCGTCATTTGCAACAAGTGACCAGAAAGAACGAGGCTAGACATATTCAACTGGAGAGCCTGCTGAATAGACTGGAATAACCAGACGCTAGAAATTGCTATAGGGTTGAGACACATGCCTTATTTCGCTGGACATAACTGATTTTAAATTAGAGTCAAAACGGAAACAATTGAATGTAAATCAGTTTATATCCAATCAGATCACATTATTATATGCGTTGCGACCCATTTGGGTCAATTTCTAGGTCCCATGTATTAGCGATTTAGCTCCTTTAAGTATGTGTCTAGTTTATTGCTCTCTATCCAGTTAATAAATGCCTCTCAAAGGTTAATATGTACATACACGTCATGTGAGGTTATCAAAAGTCATCCCTACCAAACCCTTTGGAATAAAATGTAAGCAGCACTTTGACATGAGTTCAACAACAAACTTTCAGTAGAAGGCAAAACAAATCGATAAATATTTAAAATATAGTGCATAAAACGTTTTGGGGAAAATATTAAAAATGGCCACGATCAAAGCGGAAATGTTAAAACTGATTGATCGATAATCGCGATGTTATTATAATATGTTAAAAGGAATTTTACAGTTCTTTCATGTTTGAGGCAAACACTGACAATCATGACTGCGAGTTGATTGCAATTATTCTGTTTTATGTAACATAAGCTTACACGAGCGTACACAATTAAAGGAGTATTATGGAAGATTAGATGAAGAGCTGACAGTTCTTGCTATAATAGTTAAAAAATAGATAATGAAAACAAAATATGCTGAAAATTTCAGTCAAATTGCTTCACTCTGAACCAAGATATGCCATTGAATTTTAGGCTAGTCTCGATCGCCATTACTGACATTGATATGATGACAAAAAAAATCTTGATTATCCAGTTTTACGTTAAATTATTCATCACAAAATGTATTCAAATCCAGTAAATATTGCAGGCTAACGATTATACATGTAGTTTTAAGAGTTAATTAATAGCCAATTAATAATTTAGATAACATTTCAGGCCCAAAGAAAGACCTGCAACACTCAATACCAGTCTACTTATTATAAAAACATCTGTGAATATGAACTTATCTCGGCCGTGGTTAATTAATCGAGCTTCAGTACTATTTGATAAAACAAAAACATATCAAAATTATACACAAAGTTTCAACAATGATTTTATTTTTCATCATTTATTATTGTCAGAAACCTTGTTATTATCGAGTCCAAACTGTCGTTAAATAAATCTGAACCTTAACCAGACCGAGTACCAACGGTTGTTTGTGTGGAGTCTGAACGTCACGGGGGGTTGGATGGCCGAATGGTTAGCATGCGCGTGCTGTATCATAAAGCCTGTCATTGAGTCAACTGGCGAGGTTTCGAATCCCCGGTTGTACGTGACAAGGAGTAGGGTCGCCTGTCCAACCTCATGGGTTTTCTCCGGGTCCTCCGGTTTCCTCCCACTGCTAAAGACCCCTACGCGCAAGCGAATTATTGAAATAAAATTATGTTAGTCCCGAAATGACCTAGTTTGTGTCGAGTGTAGAGAGAAGGTAATAAATCGTAATTTAGAAGATTAAGTAAAATCAACCTTGTAAAAAGAAAAATATGACTACCAGGAACTATTTTATTTTTGCTGGTGGTACAATCTTTGGGGATATAAATTTTATTAAATCAAAAAGATGTCGCTAACACTAACAGTATAGATTATAAGAGAGCAAACATAAATAAACCAAACATAAATTTCTACAGTAGTCGGTGTCTCAATATTTCATTGTTGTTGAAGATTTTGTCTTACTCATTGGTTTTAATCTTAAACCCCTAACCCTGAATTTATAGGTTTTAATCTTAAATACCTAACCCTAAAATGTAAAAATGATTAGACAAGGGAGTCGGATCAAACTAGTTACTATACTTGTAACGTCAAACTGTGTGTTTAACGTTACAACTGATACAGTCTAAGAATCCTTACGCAAGTTCAAATAGGTTCAAACACAATTGTCAACACATATCATTACAGTTTGTATTGGAATAAGTAATTCTATGACAAATAGTGAAGACTGGACCACTAAACAGTTACCGAACAATTTTTCTTTGTGGTTATGCGTTCTTGTGATGACGTATTACACACAAGCGGCCATGACACCAGCCTGTTGAAATTTCGCCTAGCAGTTGAGTTTCATCAAATCATATAATTATGCGGTACGGCTTCACCTTTATTTCAATAGGAATAGATTTATTATATGTTAAGCTAAGTGCAGTACTGTTTTGGGTCAGTTTATGTGTAAATTAAGGGAGGTATAGGCCAGTCAACTTTTTGTAGTGATTTCACTAAAAAACTAAGGAACTCCGTAAGGACGAGCCACTACTGTGCAAGGCTTGCCACGAGCAAATTGGAGGCGAGTAGATGACTACTCACGCAAATATAGACTTGCGCGAGTGAGGCGAGTACATGTATTTACTCACGCAGAATGATGTGCGTGAGTAGCCATTTAAATTTCATGTGCCTAATGGCAATGCTCTTGTCACTTCGGTGGAAGCGGACGTTGAATAAAGCTATTTCACACACAATGACAATGCATACTCTTTTATTTCCTTGGCAGTAATATTATCTGTAAATCGTCTTCCCATGACAAGAACGTTGCAAGAGAAACTGGGCTTCCCTTTGCCATCGTTGGCGTGCTGAGGGGATTCGGGTAAAGCTTAGAAAGGTAAAAGAACAGGTAAAACAATTTCAATCCCATCAATTTGCAGAAAAGATGCGGGATCGAAAGAATTGCTATTAATAGAAACGACAACATCCGCTCAATGTTTGATTATCCAGACACAGCAAAGGACATCCGCTTAAAAACCGCCTGGCAGTACGCGTCTCAAAGTATTTTTAGTAACAACAGTTGGCACTGGAAAGACACGCCGCGTGTGCAATAGTGCATCGATATGAAGGCATACAAATTGTTTACGGCTTTTTATATCACGATATTCAATTATTTCTGATTAAATTATTTTTTATATTTGCGCGAGTACTTAATCACTCACGTAAATTTGGTTTTACGCGAGCGTAGCGTGCGCGCGAGTAATTACTCGCGTCTCGTGGCAAGCCCTGCTGTGGCTGGAGTAAGGTGGACGACATCAGTAGTGGTAACATTTCTAGGATCAAACATGATCGCCCAGTTGTCATCAACCTAGAAATCAAGATATTAACAATCTCGCAAATGACAAAGTGATTATGTAAAAATTCATAAAATATGAAGATGTTTTATTTTATAGAACATCTAGTATATATACATGTATATTAAATTGTATGATGAGGAACAAATATATTTATCCTGGGACGATAGACCTACAACCGGTTGTCCGGTAGGCCTAAATGTCACTGTTGTTCATTTCATTCTTAAAGACATAATTTGAATTTCTTTCTGCAGTTTAGAATTAACCTTTGATGTAAGGATGAAATGAAAATAAAAATAATCTCTTGGTCTATTTTGTTCGCCCTTCAGCCTTCAGTTGAATTTATGTACCAGACGATTCATTCGTTTTCTCACATTTTTCTATCAACCATTTTGACTTTTGTAATGGGTTGAAATTGTGATGACAAATCCAGTAACTCACCTTCTCCAACAAATTGGCAATGTGATACGATACACTCGCCATGTTTTCGCTGTCCTTTTCTGTCAAATATATCAATAAAACTTGGTTGTTAGGCAGACAATCTATATAAATTTTGATGAATTTGTCACTTTTCGCTTTACTTTCTCATGCCGCTATTCCCGGTCATGCGCATATTAAACTTCCTGGAAAGTAAAGGGAGGTGACTTCGTACGTTTAATGAATGTTTCAGACCACAGTTGTTTTCTACGTTTAGTAGTCTTTCGTCTTTTCCAAGAATTTTATTTATTTCTAAATCTTCTAGACGCGGATACATAAGTGAAATTGGGAGAGCGGGGACATCTATTTGGATGTATTTGCACTATACCCCGATTGCAGATGGATAATTCCAGCGTACAATGTACTAACTGTCAAAGAGATTATTTGAAATTTATTCAAACAAATTCATCTGGTAAAACTTTGCTTCATATGACTCCCAAAATATTTTGATCCCAAGAAAACCACCCCATGTCGCCATAATCTATTTTTAGCAGCCTCTGATTGATCTCTTAGTCAATTTAGCCACGCCTTCATGCCGGGAAGCTTCAAACCTATTCCGTTTTACGCATAAATTACATAGAGATGATAATTATTTGCACCGTGTCAATTAGAATGGCGTGGGAAGTGCGTGAGAGGCGATGGGGGGGGGGGGCTATTATGGCTACCTTCGAATGAAAATTAGGCGATTACATATTTGTATCCCTCTTTATCATTCCATTTTTACCTTTTTGAATGGCGATTTTTGTTTTACTTTCTGTTCTGGTTTAAAATCACAAATGGTATAACTCACAATTTGCAAAAATAATGAAACAGTTATATATATGTAGAGGCGGCAGAGCCGGACAGTTAACATTAAAATGGAAAACTTTGGTGGTCTAATCCCGCATAATTAATTTGAGTTCTTTCCCTTTAACTGTATTTACGTCGTCATTCTATTTTTATCATTTTGAATGGCGATTTTTGTTTTACTTTCAGATCAGGTTTAAAATCACAAATTGTGTATCTCATAATTTGCAAAAATAATGAAAGAGTTACATGTTGAGGCGGCAGAGCCGGACAATTAACATTAAAATGGAAAACTTTGGTGGTCTAACACGTATAATTAATTGGAGTTGTTTCCCTTTAACTGTATTTACGTCTTCATTCCATTTTTACCTTTTTGAATGGCGATTTTAGTTTTACTTTCGGATCTGGTTTAAAATTACAAATTGTGTATCTCATAATTTGCAAAAATACTGAAACAGTTACATGTAGAGTAACATTAAAATCAAAACCTTTGGTGGTCTAACCCCGCATAACTAATTGGAGCTGTTTCCCTTTAACTGTATTTCCGCGCTTTTGTGTATAATCTCGATCATCACGCCTTTCTGTTATTAATAATTACTGGATAGCTTGAGGCTAAGTTGGCGCCATTTTCGCGTCGTCTGCTCTTTTAATTTTCGTCAGGGTACATAAAATAAGAGTCTTCTATGTCCAGATAAATTAAGCGTGTCTCATCACCTAAATTATAAATAGTGTTTATCATTAGCGATAGTCCTAGTGTAACCAGTCACCAGAGAAGAAGAAAACGCCGTCAACATTTGGATAAGTACAACTAGCGGCTAGCCTAGAGCCAAGAAAGAGCCTGACTCCACACCACTCCAGACGTTTCTAGTAAACAGGCCTAGGCCTAATCAGTCATATTCAAGAGACAGCCACTCGACAGCAAACGGTAATGAAACACAGATAGACCTATACACTACGGCCACGGGTTCTACAGCCTATAGCCCATTTATGTGAATAGATTTAAGCAATTCTGCAAATTCCATGGCCATGAATGACCCCTATGATGTGAACTATCTCATTCATTGAATCATAGCAAAATGCGCTAAATAGGCCTAAAAAGGAAAACTGCAAAAAGTTATCTCGGAAGTCGAGGTCTTCGTCCCCTAATGCCTTAACAGCGTTACTTCGGCGTTAGGCTGCTTCTGCTAATATAGTAATAATAGGTCTATCTTCCTGCAAGCAAAACTGTAAATTATTCTCCGGAGCCACACTCAGAGAGTCAGAGACACTGGTTCAGTGTGAGTGCTACTGTGGTTTTCCCGGGCTCTTGTTCACTTGTTGTCAGTGGTGCACTACGTGGGTGGGTGTCTTTAGTCGTTCTGTTACTTAGATTTAGAACAAATCAGGCCTGGAAATAACGGTTTTAAGTGTACCGGTACCTGACAAAATGTCAGGCACTAATGAAATTGTACCTGACATTTTCAACTTAGTGCCGGACATGTATTAATAATATCGATAAAAAAGACAAATCAGTGCCAAACAAAATAACAGGCACCAGAGGTGTAGTGCCTGACAAAGCCTGATTAACCTGTGCCTGACATTGTCTGTGACCGGTTCCTTATTTCCAGTCTTGGAACAAATAACAGAGTTCCCAAATTGAAAGAAAAAAATTCGGGGACTTTGGGACGTATAGCCCCCAGAACCGACCTATGTCGGTCCACTTGCGCCCTTCCGACGTGTCGTAGGATCTTATGAATTACTTAGTTTACAATAAACACGGCCAATAAATGAATAATAGAATGGAATTTTAACTCTTGTCTTAACAAAGATGTACACAGAAAAAAAACTAAAACAGGAAGCGCACAAGATCAGTGCAAAACTGTACTAGCCACCTGAATTGCATGTCCCCTGATTTGAACTTATTTGAAGCTCCAACACATACATTTTAACAATCAAAAGGTTTATTTCTTTGTTAGAATTTTTTCCTAAATATGTTGTTACTTAATTGTTGATATTTTCATTTGATATTTTAGAGAATCAATCGACGATTGCTGTTTACAGATTACCTTAGACGTAGTTCAGAGTTCAAACTTCAGAGATCAGAACGGAATTGCTTTTGAAGTCAAATAATGGAGTTTTTTGTAAGTTCACAATAAGTTCAGTTAGTTTCTTTTTTGTGCCTATTCCTCTCACTCAGCCATAAATAGTATATTATAATAATAGTTGGAACAGTTAATTTATTCCGAATCATAATTTCAATATATCTGTGAGTTTGGTCTCGTGTTTTAAGAAAATGAAAATAAACTAAAATGACTTCAAAAAATTAAAACTTCAATGGGGCACCTGTTTGCTGTTATGACGAAATTACCTGTGTCCAAAACTGTCAATGATTATCCAATAATATAACACGCTTATACCGTGCCATGATTTAGTGAGGATGGTGCTGTCTCACTAGCCCGGATATACTGGGTTCGATCCCAGTGAGAATGTTCCTCAAGATTTTCTAACCTGGTTTTCCCTCTTTAGTTCCATTTCATTTATCATGCACATCGGATAATTATTTCTTGAAGATCTTAATATATCCAGAAAAATACTGATAATTAATTTGATACCTTTTTTATTATTTCAGAATAATTTTGATTATAAAAATTTTGATAAAGACGTTCCTGATGATGTTGATGGTTTTTTCACAAAACAACAATTGGAATCAATGTCTGATTATGAGAAGAAAAGATATAAAAATTTACGTCAGAATTTTGAAATGATGCGATTAATGGGTAACTGATTTTAAAAATCACATATTCGATTTATATTCCGGTAACGCCAGAACTCGCCTATTCACCATTTTGCAAACATATTTCCATGATCAAATAAGATTATGAACATGATACGGGATTAGAATGAGTTTGTTGGATTTAGTTTTTACGGGGTTTATGAATACAGCCCGAAACAATACTTGAATACACTGCGACTGAACCCCATGAAATACGATACAGGAGTGGAAGGGATTCCTTTTAGTTTACTTTTTATTGGTCATGTAATTTAATATCTAAGTTGCAGGAGGCCCGAACTCGTAATGCACGATGTACGCCAGGGTCTAAACCCGGCCCTGTATTTGAAAAGTTAAAATTTATATGTGTATTTTAACTCGATGCAAAGAATTGATGTGTTTACCGTAATAATTTAGGTTTACCAGTAAAGAAGCCAGCCTTTATGACGGCCAAATGGAAACGTAAAACAACTGTAGAGGAATCAGAATCAGATAGTGATGAAGAATGGAAACCAAATAAACGGAGTAAAAAGACTAAAGGTCGATAAGTATTCTTATATACAGTTAGTGCCCGGGGCCAAGTACCACCCCTCCCCCCCAAGACCTCAGTATAGGTCCTAATACTCAGAAAACTTAGAATGTTTCGTGATACCAGGGGCCAACTCCTTGACTGTATGCCCGTCTTTCCCCAAGATTCCGGTATAGGTCCTAGTACACAGAAATCTTAAAATGGGGGACATTGCAAATAAAATACATACAATCAGTGGCATGCAGCGTGTTTCTTGATACCTTGACATGCCCTTCTTTCTCAAAGATTCTGGTATTGGTCCTAGTGAACAGAAATCTTAAAATGGGGGACATTGTAAATAAAACAGATTAAATCAACGTTTTTATTATAACTAAGTATAGGGTTGTTTTGAAAAAAAAAAATAGTTATTTTAATTTCCGTTCGTTGATTGGATTTCCTACTGAAAAGAATGCCCTCAGCCCCCTTCTTCTTTTCTCTGCATGCCACTGCATTCAGTCCCCCGCATTATTGGTACGGTACCATAGCAGACACTGTCTATATGGTTGTTGTATTTACGGTCACAAAATACATGTGAAGGAGGACCGACCCAATCACCACCACCACCAACAAGTCCACAAGACAAAAGCACAAATATTGTAAGCTGTGACTGACTTAATCAAAATAACACTGTGTAGCTCTAGTGTTTAAATCCAAAAAATCTCATAATTGAACAATTTTATTACATTTTAATGTTTTATCAGATAAATTTACACCATACCAACCACCTAAGAAAGTTTTTCCAATATTCGAACAACCGACTAAAACCAAAACACCACGTAAAAGCCGAGCCTGTGCAGCTACAGTAACCAGCCAAGTAAGTTATTTTCGTTCAGTCTAATGGCGATTGTCTACAAGCTCTTGAAAAAACAACTTCCTTATGATCAGATTTTAGAGAAACTTGCAGAGATGTTTATGGTTTCAACGAATATTTAACATTTTCAGTATCTTTTGCAAGATGGTTGCTTCTTAGTCCAGTTCTATTCAAATATACGTTCATTTAAATGTTGCCCTATGGTGCCGTTCCCTCTATGCTGTGCGGGGTAACTTCGTCAAGAGAACAGATTGATAAGTGGCGTTGCCTCTTAAAGGTGAAACCGTTCACAATTTATTCATTGTTGCAACCTTGTCCATTTTGTGCGGGTTTTGTCTTGTGCTGTTTTGTTGAACCGTTTGACGACATTGTCCATATGCATTAATTGTATTAATTTTATTTCCAGCCAGTTGAAGATAAAGAAACCCAGGAAGAAAGTAAAGAACCCAGATATCCCTTAAGACAGACATCACGTACAACCAGTTTCATGAATGTTGAAGTTCCTGATGACGACGAATTTCTTTGTAAGTTTCTCATTTTATCCTAATAAAACTGAGCGTGATTTGAGCGATATGGAATTGCGTGCACTCTATAAGATATTATAAAACTTGAATTTCTTGTATCAGTCCAAAAGGGTACAGTTCCTTCAGTGTTTAATAAACTGACAACTTTATGGATAACATTCACTGGGTTTTATTAACTGCAACGTTTCAATGAGGATACTCTCACCGTTATCAAGCAATGATACAATCAAACATGTTACAGAAGGTTTTAGGTTATATACAAGTGGATAACAATAAACTAATTAAGAGTGAATGTTATCCATAAAGTTGTCAGTTTATTATATATCCCGTTCACTAAATGCCCTTTAAAGTTCCTTCTGTGTTTATTTACAAAGATACGATGAAGCGAAATTCCATCAATTTTCTGCCTTTTATGTAAATCGTACACTTCTATTTTCTCTCTGGTCACATATTTTTCTTGACAGAATCTGTCGATGAAACATGTCTATATTTCTTCAAGGTTAAACTTTCGACCATTTTGCAATCTACGGTAGCCAATCACAAGATCTGTTAAGTGTCGGATGATTTCAGGACACTATTGCAGCCTTCAGCTATCGAAACGTATTCGCAAAATTTTATTAATAGTCCTGTTTTAATCCGATTGAATCCGAGCTGGGAAATTATCTAGCAGTGATATTTTAATTTTGTTTTCTTAATTAAATGTTAAATAATCAATCGGAGTACATACCAACATGTCAACATGTCAAATTTGATATTATTATGTTTCAAAATGACCGAAGAATTGTTTTGACGGGATGTTAAAAATGAAGAAAAGATGTTTCGAAATCAGGTTATTTCATAATCCGCCATATAGTCGCGAACAACATCAGGGTTTTCATTTAAAGATACATTATGGGAGATTCGATAACGAGTTGACAGTTCTCACTATAATAGTTAAAAACTAGATAATGTAAAGACAATTTGCTAAAAATTTCATTCAAATTGATCCACTATGAACCGAGAAATTTCCGGCTAGCCTTGATCATCATTACTAAAGTCAGTACGATGAACATCATAGTCTCGATTATCCATTTAATCGTTAAATCGTGAAGGAAAGTTATGCAGTAAATCGGCTCATAATCTACTAAAGATCGCAGGCTAGCGATGTCATCTAGAGTTGATTATGGTCTGGATTGGTTAATTAATGTCTAATTAATAGTTTAGATAACAGTTCAGGCCTAAAGAAAGACCTGCAATAGACAGATTTAGCTCTTGCATAATGTATGTTTAAAATAAATTTTATTAACTTTTAAATTTTAAAGACCCGGTACAATTATGGCCTCTGTACCTTTACTATCACTTTTTTAGATTGTCGGTTGAGGTGGATGATCGTATCGAGACTGTCGACTGACGCGTGCGCTTTAGATAGTAGGTGGCTGGATTGTCTATGCCAAACTTGTGCTGCGCAAGGAGTAGGGTATCATGCCCAACTTTGTGTGTTTTCTAAATTACTGAAACACAATTGTACCATATTATATTAGCCCAGAAATGACATAGTTTGTGTGGATTGGACGTTAAACCCCATTTTTCTTTCAGATTGTGAAGAATGTAATAAAGAATATCCTGGTGATTGTCCTGTTCATGGAAGTTATAAAATAGTAGAAGACACACTGGTAAGATTGGATAAAAAGATTACTAATAGACGGGGTTTAAGGGTTGATAATACATTCTCTGGAATTAAATTTATCAATTTTCACATACTAATATACAGTAGTAATCCAATCTGATTAAAACACAGATCCTATTTCGTTTCGTTTTTTTTAGTTCAAAATTTCGTTTTACTCGTCTTGGCTACACTAGGATCTGGAAGAGTTGTTATTTAACTCGAGTTCTGGTTGATGTGAGGGTTTAGCCAATATATAACAGTCTGTTACGGCGAGTTTTTGGCGTGAGGTGCACGGTACTCTGGGTAACCCACAAGAGAGATCAACGCTGATTGGTTAATCAAATGTCTGACGTCATAGGGTCAAAACCGCTCGTATGACCTCCTCACTACAATCGGTCAGATCTTCATGTAGCAGACGATCCCGCACATATGACGTCATATGTGGATTTTGCGTTAGGGCAAGGATTGGGATTGGTCAAGGGTTAGGCTTGGGGCTAGTCCTGTTTAAGTTTTCAGGCTTTGGCGAAATCTGCATGTCCTAACCCCTATCCTAACACTAACCCACAATCCATATATGACGTCATATGTGCTAAAATGTGTAGGAATGTCGCCGATCTAGCGTTCTCCGTAGTAGAGGCCATCCGCAACCAGTACGAACTACGAAGTTTTTTTTGTGCTGACGTCATCACTTTTTTTGTTCTCATTGACATAAGCGACCTTCGGTTCGTCATTTTTCTACGAAGATTTCTTGAAAAGTTCGGGTTTAAAAAACGAGGTACGAAATCGTGATTTTCTCGCTGATTTGTGAATGAAATTCGTAATTTTACGGTAATAGAGAGGTTCCGCAACCGGTGCGAACTACGAAGTACGAACACGGCTTCGTACTTCGTATTTCGTTTTTGACAGGTTCCGCAACAAGTACAAACTACGAACAGGGCTTCGTATTTCGTACAAAAATATCAAATTAATTTAAATTTTAGTCTCCAAGAAGTCCATTGCAATGTGTTCTTATCAAATTCGAGATGATTCGACCTAGTGGCTGAGTGTCAAAAAAAACAAAACAAATTTCACAGCCCGAAAATTTGTCCAAAATCAAAACAATTGCCGATCACTTGACGCTTATCAACCATATACTTCGTACTGGTTGCGGAACCTCCCTAGTTGAAATATAGGTTTATCTCCAAAAGATCTCGGTTGGCCGTTGCTTTCGATATTGGCACATATCGGATAGAAACTTCATGGATTATGGCCCCTGATTGTACGAAAAATCACGTTTTTAGCTTGTGGACCCTACAGAGGTCACAATTTTAATCCGATTTTGATGAGACTTGAAATGCATGTTTATAACCCAAAGATCACGGTTCCTTTCGATATTTGCGCATATCGGGTGGTAACTTCCTGAATTATGGCCCCTGATTGTACAAAAAATCAGCTTTTTTAGCCTGTGGTCCCTCTGGAGGTCACAAATATTATCCAATTAAAAAAAACATTTGATTATATAACCGTTACACCGTAATGAAGGTTGAGTTTGAATTTCGTGAAAATCGGATCAAAACTGTCGGAAGAAATGGCCGCCGCTTGTACGCGAATAGTGTAAAAATATGGTATTATATCTAGATTGTGGACCCTGTATAGGTCACAATTTTGATCCGATTTTGATGAAACTTGAAATGCATGTTTATAACCAAAAGATCTTGGCTTCTTTGTATATTCGCGCATATCGGATCATAACTTCCTGAATTATGTCTCCTGATTGTACGAAAATTCGTGTTTTTAGCTTGTGGTCCCTCTAGAGGTCACAATTATTAACAACTGATTTAAAAAAAAAAGTGTGAATATATCACCGTTACACCTTAATGATGATTGAGTTGGTATTTCATGAAAATCGGACCAAAACTGCCCAACAAAATGGCCGCTCTTTGTACCCAAGTTGTGTATAAGTATGTAATACAAAGGTTATGGACCCTCTAGAGGCCACAGTTTTTATCCAATTTTGATAAAACTTAAAACGTATCTTTATATCACAGAAATCTCAGTCCCTTTTGATATTTGGGCATTTAAGACCATAGCTTTCTGGATTATGGCCCCTGATTGTACAAAAAATCGCGTTTGTTTTTTGCTTGTTCTCTATCCATCTCTTGCAAAATGTGGACGTATCCTTCCTGGCAACCGTTGGTTTGATGTAGCTATCATTCTGACCAATACTATGAATGACAACCAGTCAATATAATAATGGTATACTATAGCTATCGTTCTGTCTCAGACTGATACTATGAATGACAATTAGTCAATATAATAATGGTATAGCTATCGTTCTGAATTCTGACCGATACAGTGGTAGATTATTAATTGGGTCATCTTTCAGTTTACAAGTTTCCATCATTCTGATTAAAACACAGATCCTATTTCGTTTTATTTGTCTGTACTACACTAGAATATGGAAGTTGTATTATTTAACTTGCGTTCTGGATGGCGTGAGGTATTAGCTATTGAAACTATCTGTTTTTTTACGGCGACTTGTTGGCGTGCGATGCGCGGAACTGGATAAACAACTAGATACGTCAACGCTGATTGATTAACGTCATAGGGTCAAAAGCCGCTCGAACGACCCATTGCGTGACCTTCCAGTACAACTGGTCAGGCCCCGAGTTCACAAAGCATTCTCAGACATAAGTTAAGAATTTACTCAAAATTAGCCCTTTATAAACCCGTTTGTTGTTTTAATGTATCAAATATGTCAATAATAAACTGTGCAAAGTTTTGTGTTTCTGGATCAAAGATATTTCTCATAAACAGTGATTGAAAGTTGAGTAAATTCTTAACTTAAGTCTGAGAATGCTTTGCGAACTTGGGGCCAGATCTTCATGTAGTGTAGGCCTTCGAAAGTATAAAAAAAAACGAATATAGATCTGTATTTTAATCCGATTGAATTTCCATGAACTTTTCTGAACATTAAAACATTATTTATTGTAACTAGGTTGAAGCTACAAGAAAATCTGATTCTACAAGATGTCTGAAAACATTACCAGATGGTATAGAAATAAAACAATCTTCAATACCTAATGCTGGACAAGGTGCTTGGACAACTAAACACTTTTCTAATAGAACAAGATTTGGACCGTATAGAGGAGACATTGTGAAGGATTTCGAGAAAGCTCAGAGTTCTGGTTACTGTTGGCAGGTAGGAAGTCGATTGGCAAAATCAAACTGTTAGTCTTAGTTTTTATAATGCAATCTTTTGAAAATTTGATTACCTATGGAAGTTATCATTATGTAGAACCCTGAGATGATGTTATATTAAGAAATATAAATAAAGTTGTCGATATGTGCAAATTGTTAATAAATACAACGTGACTTTGATGGGTCGGTTCATATTTTACCATGTTCAGAAATAAATGGAAATTTGGTAATCATACCAATCCCTGGCCAAATATTAGCGTTAATATTGTGTATTTATAATGTACACATTCCATGGGTGTATGCTCGTGGCGCAGTTGTCAGCTCTCTACATTTATCAGAAAAAAACAAGTATTGTGACTTTCAAGAAAGATTCCAAGAGTTTTGAGTTCTTTAGCTCCAAACAGTTCCACAGGATTTGTGCCATGTATTAGGAAGTGACCTGAGTCGTAAAAATTCGCCTATCTAGCATTGAAATAAAAGAGTTACCATAATGATCAAAGAATTCTGTTGATAAGACATTAAACATCTTTTAATTTAATAACTGATTTTTCTGGGTTATCAACCATGGAATGCATGAACAGGAAGTCCGGAAAGTTTATTTTATTATAGTCCATACACACATTTTCAAATAAGCTAGTATGTTCTGTTATTTTTTATAAAATTCAGATATTTCAAGATAGAAAACATGAGCATTTTATAGATGCTCAAAATCCAGCCACTTCAAACTGGATGAGATACGTAAATTGTGCTAGAACAGAACAAGAACAGAATGTAACAGCTTATCAGTATAAAGGACAGATTTATTACCGTGCATTTAAAGATATTCAACCTGGAACAGAAATTCTTGTTTGGTTAGTAAATCAAAGCAGAAGAAATATATTTCAACCAGAACAGATATTAATTCTATGGTTCTATTACGAACTGGCTATGTATTATTAAATAAATTAAAAATACATTCTGCAATTTGAGCTAAATCTGCCTATTGCGGGTCTTTCTTTAGGCCTTAAATGTTATCTAAACTATTAATTAGACATTAATTGACTTATCAAGCCGATAATTAACTCTGAATGCCATCGGATCAGCCTTGATTTTCATTAGATTTAAATTCTATCTTGATGATCTACTGTAAAAATAGATAATCGAGACTTTGTTTATTATCCTAACAACGGTAGCAATGACAATCGAAGCTACGCTGTAATTTTATAGCCGATATCTCGACTCAGAGTGAAGTAATTTGACTGAAACTTTCAACATATTTCCTTTTCATTGTCTATTTTTGAACTATTATAGCTAGGACTGTCAGTTCTTTATCTAATCTTACATATACCCCTTTAAATAAATTAATAGTTAAAGATTAAACAAATTAAATTGGAGTAGTGGGCTTGGCCGTCAGGTAACGTGCGGCTAGTCACACTTGGCACTGGAAATCGAAGACGAGTATGCAGAAATGTTCGCCTTTAATTGACCTGAGTTTTGTGTTGATGAGACAATAATAAATCCCATTCTATTGTACAGAAGAGAAACCACTGTATGAACAGACTAATCTAGACGGTCTTCATAGAAACTTTAATTGAAATATTTAAAGATGGTACAGTTTTCATTTGCTGAATTTTAAAATCCTGGTACCAAATATAGCACTCGGCCAATGAAAGGGCAGCATCCTTTCAAAAATTCGCGAAGAAGGCACTCTGACCCTAGAAAAAAAAAGAAAATATAATACTTTAGCATTATTCACACAAACTTTGATTGAAATATTTAAAGATGGTACGGTTTTCATTTACTTAATTTTAAAATCCTGATACCAAATTTAACACTCAGCCAGTGAAGTGGCAGCATCCTTTAAAAAATTCATGAAGAAGGCCCTCTGACCCAGAAAAAAATCAGAATATATAATACTTTGATTCATTTGTTTAAATTTCTTTTTGTAGGTATGGAAGTGAATATGCTGCAGATCTGGGAATAAACAAACCATTATGGTCCAAGTCATCTTTTGTTGCATTCCACAATCAGACCAGTAGAAAAAATACAACTACTAATTTATTAAAACAGATGCCATGGAGATTAAATGGATCAAAACCAATAATTCCAGGTATTGTATGTCTATTTAATGATAATTATGTATATTTATGAAATATTATATGAGCCGCATTTAAAAAAAAAAAACTACGCGAGCACACTAATTTCTTGGCGTCCCCCTCCACCCTTCCTCTGGGAAAACCATTTAAAAAAGCTGTCGGAGTTATACTACCGTGAATAAAAACGGCCCCAAACTATGCAAGAACATTAATTTCGTAGCCTCCACCCCACCCCGCTGAGATTACCATATCCACAGGCTTCTTCTCGGTCCATTCCATTCCTGTTGATTGGCATTTCTTGGAATTCTGCCAATTAACGCCAGGCGTTAGAAAGTCAAAACACTAACAATAATAAGGGTAATGGATAATCCGGATAGAATTTTGGACAAACTCTAAAATAGAAATGATGTAGGGGCAAAGCTGTATCAATGTGACTATCCAACTTTATAATTTTCAGACATCGGCAATTAATATTGGCACATATTGGTGTGAAATGCTTGATATAAACCCACTTTATTTACAGTGTTATCTCGACTGTTTAGCTGTTGATAACTAATATAATTTCATTTCCATTCAAAACATTTATTATTTCAGATACATATCCATGTCGTTTCTGTTCAACATCATATGCCTCGCCACTAAATCTGTTGAAACATTTTTACCTTCGACACTTTGAGCTATTGAACATAGACAGATTATTATCCATGAAGATAGATTGGAAGGGTCTAAATAAATTATCTGAACGAAATATAAATGAATTAATTGATGTCGGTCTGACACCAAAAGAAACAACACAGCCATTGGCCAAGACTAGAGTCACACAGAACCAAAACAATCTACATAAAAGACGTGATAAACATCGAATTCATACTGGTGAAAAATCTTACAAGTGTGATGTTTGTGGTTATTCATGTAATCAGAGTGGTAATCTACAGACACACATGAGAATTCATACTGGTGAAAAATCTTATAAGTGTGATGTTTGTGGTAAATCATTTAATCAGAATAGTGATCTACAGATACACATGAGAATTCATACTGGTGAAAAATCTTATAAGTGTGATGTTTGTGGTAAATCATTTAATCAGAATAGTAATCTACAGATACACATGAGAATTCATACTGGTGAAAAACCTTACAAGTGTGATGTTTGTGGTAAATCATTTAATCGGAATAGTGATCTAAAGAAACACATGAGAATTCATACAGGTGAAAAATCTTACAAGTGTGATGTTTGTGGTAAATCATTTAATCAGAATAGTGATCTACAGATACACATGAGAATTCATACTGGTGAAAAATCATATAAGTGTGATGTTTGTGGTAAATCATTTAATCATAGTGGTAATCTACAGAGACACATGAGAATTCATACTGGTGAAAAATCTTACAAGTGTGATGTTTGTGGTAAATCATTTAATCAGAGTCAACATCTACAGATACACATGAGAATTCATACTGGTGAAAAATCTTATAAGTGTGATATTTGTGGTAAATCATTTACTCAGAATAGTGATCTACGGGTACACATGAGAATTCATACTGGTGAAAAATCTTATAAGTGTGATGTTTGTGGTAAATCATTTAATCAGAATAGTAATCTACAGATACACATGAGAATTCATACTGGTGAAAAATCTTATAAGTGTGATGTTTGTGGTAAATCATTTAATCAGAATGGTAATCTACAGAGACACATGAGAATTCATACTGGTGAAAAATCATATAAGTGTGATGTTTGTGGTTAATCATTTAATGTGAGTTGTCATCTACAGATACACATGAGAATTCATACTGGTGAAAAATCTTATAAGTGTGATGTTTGTGGTAAATCATTTAATCTGAATGGTGATCTACAGAGACACATGAGAATTCATACTGGTGAAAAATCTTACAAGTGTGATGTTTGTGGTAAATCATTTACTCAGAATAGTGATCTACGGGTACACATGAGAATTCATACTGGTGAAAAATCATATAAGTGTGATATTTGTGGTAAATCATTTAATCGGAATGGTAGTCTACAGACACACATGAGAATTCATACTGGTGAAAAATCTTATAAGTGTGATGTTTGTGGTTATTCATGTAATCAGAGTTGTCATCTACAGACACACATGAGAATCCATCGATAGTTTGCAACATAAAGTAAAATAAATGTGATATAAATGAAATAAATAAATAATTGTATGGTATAGCATGAGTTTTCTGTTTTATACATTCTACAACATTTTTAATCTTTAATAACACAAACTTTCATATTCCTCATTTTACCGTAGATCTTCATTAAATGGTTCCTGATCATTTCAGTTTTCCCAGTCGTTCACTAAAATGACGTCGTAGAAATAGTTGACAAACTTCTCAGTGACGTCATATATGTTAATGACGTCAGTATTATCTTCGTGCATTTTAACACCGTTTTTTGCACTCGGCAAACCTCAGCAGATTCGAGTAAAATACACCCGATGCAATATTGTGTATCTTGTGTAATAATTCTCATATCGTTATAATTTTTATGTACACGTTTGTATTGTATGCTGTCCTAAACCGATGTTTCGATGCAATAAAATCTTATCTTATTTTATCTAGCCTCGGCTGCATGACCAAGTCCACTATTGGAACTACTTTCAAGTTCCTGGGTTATCAACGGGGTCGCCCATGACGTGGTCTTTGAAGAATGTTTTATTATACAAAGCATTCAAAGTCTAAAGCTGTTTTCTTTCATGTTTATCCGATTTTCTTTAAACAAGGATAACTTATCACTGAAAATTCTACACCCTTCTTTCTAAAAGCGGCAGGTTTTCCTAATAAGTTTGACACCAGTGCCACATCGCAATGGTATAGGTGTAGGTACATATTACTTACCGTCATACAGCCGAGCCGAGGCGAGATGTAGAGTACCGGAATCTGCTGAGGTTTTTTGTACACGTCTCAATCTAATACCATGGCTAATTTTATCCGATTTGTTCATCAAAGTTTTATGACAATTGTCTTCCTTGATTATACAGACATGATTCCATGTTAAGAAGGTACCGTGTTCGATCTCATTGGTTCCCCCTTGTCACTGTCAAGAAATAGTGGTTCGCCCGTCACCATTAGCCCGATTGGTGCTCAACGTTCGGGCGTTAAAACCCATTTCATTTTATTGTTCATTAACAATAGTTTGTAATTTATTTGTTGAATAATTGACGTTAAATATGCTAAAATGCCGAAAATTTGTCTATTTGAGAATTTTAATAAATTTCATTACACATGTAACTTACGAATTGTCACAATCGACACGTCACGTGTCAAATAAGTACGTCATAAGTGTTACCCTACTTACGTCATATTATGATGACCAGTGAAATGATCAGTTGATGTATAGTTAGAGAAATAAAAATTATTTTACACGGTCCGTGGTATTCACTGAAAACTTATTTCCCATTGTTACTTTACAAGTTGCCTTTATAGTAAATTATTTAAAATCGTGACTTTATTAAATTTTATTAAATTATTTGATTGTTATTGTTTGTTTTTGTTACATAAATGGAATTGTGATGCGTTTTTTGCACAAGGTATTTGAAATTATTTAGAAATAAAGTTTGCTTTAATCAATTATTAGGGTTTTTTTTATATCACATTTTATTAGAGTCAATTAACCAGTCTGAATTTTAGTCTTGAATGATCAACGCGATTGTCAAGTAAATCTTGCGATCGTTTTCAGAACTGTTCAATATTTGCATCTGAAATTTTTTAGATCGTATCTCAAGATAGCCTACTCGGATATCGAATTCCAATTCTAAAGGGTTCTTTTACGTACATGCCAGTGTGTTCTTAGGATCTCCTTGTCTGGCAACAGTGACGGAGGAAACCAAGCTTAGAAATCCTGAGGAACAACTTTCTTGGACAACACCGTGAGCTAACCCACATCTCCAGGTTACTCACTAAGCCAGTCTGCTCCCAGTCAGTATTGGATCTGTATTCAAAACCTTACATCAACACAAGAGAAATGGGTTTTATTGGACACAAACCATGTTATTTTGGGACTAACACATTGTTGCTTTAGCTGTAGAAGGAAACGGGAAAAATCCCAGCAGATTACTTTTCTGCACCAAATTGCAATGAAGACGGGCAAACACCTTGCAGTGTTCTAGGAGTAGAATTTTGCCTGGACAGCAACTTTTCCACATACTCTCTAATTCAAACATAGGTTTATGTACACATAGGTTTGTTTACATGCACATAGGACTGCCTCTGTATTTTGTTTCAATGGGGGGGTGGGGGACGCACAGAGGAATGCCTGCCTTGCATCAACTATCATACTAAACTTAGGCTGTCTGTACAATTAGTTACACTTACAACAGACACTAAGCTAGTTGACCAACATTTAAGTTTCTGAATCAACAGTTTTAGTGGAAATAAACTAAGTATAATTCGAGAATTTTGAGAAGTATTACTTCCATTTACTAGAGAGAGAGAAATGGGGTTTAACGTCCACTCGACACAAACTAGGTCATTTCGGGACTAACACATGGTTTAATTTTATTTCAATAATTCGCTTGCGCGTAGGGGTTTTTAGCAGTGGGAGGAAACCGGAGGACCCGGAGAAAACCCACGAGGTTGGACAGGCGACCCTACTCCTTGTCACGTACAACCGGGGATTCGAAACCACGCCAGTCGACTCAATGACAGACTTTATGATACAGCGCGGGCACGCTAACCATTCAGCCATCCAAACCCCCCCCCCCCCCATTTACTAGAGAATGACAAACCATCTCCAGGTTTATTTAGTTTACGGCAAGGAATTTACTTATGCATTGTGTGTCTTTTAGTGGAGCCTGGAAACCATTGAGAGAGAGGGATGGGGTTTAACACCCACTTGACACAAACTAGGTCATTTTGTGACTAAGGTATGGTTAATTTTATTTCAATAATTTGATTGTGTGTATGGGTCTTTAGCAGTGGTAGTAAAGTGCAGAAAACCCACAAGGTTGGAAGTTGACCCCGCTCAGTCTGTCACACAAATGGGGAATTGAAACCACCCCACTTGACTCAATGATAGCTTTTGACTTCATATGCTCGCACTACACCCCCACCAGGAAACCATTGAAGTAACGCCACATGCTTCGACAGGTTAACTACACCCTCCCCCACCCTTTCTTTTATTTTGTTATAAACAACATTTTTATTCAGAGTTATATCTGAATAGTGATTAGAGAATACTTTTAACCTCACTCCTTTGTTGGTACAACCATGCGACTGAGCTGATATATAAAGGAAATGAGGTTAAACATCCTACTGTTCTGCTCCGATTGAACTGTAATATCAGCCAGGGATTTGACCCATGACTTGCAATTTGATTAAAATACTCTGTTTCATTTTTTTTATACTTTTGATGACCTACACTACATGAAGATCTGACCAGTTTTAGTGGAAGGTTGCCTCAGAAGTCATACGAGCAGCTTTTGACCCAAAGATGTCTGACATTTGATTAATCATTCTGCGTTGATGTTTCTAGTAGGTTCCCAGCGTGGGTTATATAACTGTTCCAAATCCTAGTGTAGTAAAGACAAGTAAAATGAAATTTTGAACTATAAAAAACAAATCGAAATAGGATCTGTGTTTTAAACAGATTGCCCCAACAATCAAATCAAAAAGACAAGTTTTTTAAATTTATTTTTTTCTTTTGACACCATGTTTAGATCATTTTACGTAATAGTTTATTTAAGTCTTCTTCACGGTTGCCATAGTCACCACCATCGTTATAGTGGTTCAACTTTTTACGCCAGCCTCCTGTAGGATTAGACAGTTTAAATGGCCACAGGAAGTTGGAAACCTCTCGGAATCTTGGTCCACACGTGTAGATTTCGTGAATCAAATCTTCAACACACAAGATGTTATATTTACCTGAAAGAAACATGGTTTAACTCACAATAGCCAAGTCATTTCGGTACATGTATATAGTAAGTGCATAGCGACTGCGCCACACACAAATATACAGAGAGAAATGGGGTTTAACGTTCACTCGACACAATCTAGACCATTTCTGACTAACATATGGTTCAATTTTATTTCAATAATTCGCTTGCGTGTAGGGCTCTTTAGCAGTGGGAGGAAATCGGAGGACCCGGAGAAAACCCACGTGATTGAAGGGCAACCCTATTATTTGTCACGCACAACTGGGGAATCGAAACCACGCCAGTTGACCAGGGCTTGCCACGAGACGCGAGTAATTACCAAATTTACGTGAGTGATTAAGTACTCGCGCAAATATAAAAAATAATTTAATCAGAAATAATGGAATATCGTAATAAAAAAAGCCGTAAACAATTTATATGCCTTCATATTGATGCACTATTGCGCACGCGCCGTGTCTTTCCAGTGCCACCTGTTGTTACTAAAAATACTTTGAGACGCGTACTGCCAGGCTGTTTTTAAGCGGATGTCCTTTGCCGTGTCTGGATAATCAAAAATTGAGCGGATGTTGTCGTTTCTATAGCAATTCTTTCGATCCCGCATCTTTTCTGCAAATTGATGGGATTGAAATTGTTGTGCCTGTTCTTTTACCTTTCTAAGCTTTACCCGAATCCCATCAGCACGCCAACGATGGCAAAGGGAAATGACTACTCACGCACATTATTCTGCGTGAGTAAATACATGTACTCGCCTCACTTGCGCAGGTCTATATTTGCGTGAGTAGTCATCTACTCGCCTCCAATTTGCTCGTGGCAAGCCCTGGTTGACTCAATGACAGACCTTATGATACAATGTGCATGTGCTAACCCTTTGGCCACCCAAGTCCCCCACAATAGCCAAAATAATATGTTGAGATTGAAAGTATGCATAAAACCAAACTCAACCCTATTCCTTTGGTAGGCCTACTCGGGAATATGGCTTGACTACAACTTGATCTAATTACATTCTGAAATGGGGTTTAACGTCCTACTGTTCTGCTGCGAGTGGGCTAATGAAGACGGGTATATGCCATACAGTGTGGTGTGAGGGGAAATTTTGCCCAGACAGCAGCACTATGGCCTACTCTTATATCAAATTCTAACTGCCAAGGGATCTTCTACTTGCATGCCAATGTAAATACGGGACCTCTACAATTTGAACGATAGACAGCTGTTGTTATCAGGCCTTCCATCAGGCACCACTGACAAAGGGGAACCACGCTGGAAAATCTGTATGAACTTTCTCGGCCAATGCAGGGATCGAACACCGACCTCCAGGCTAATGAGTCAGCATCTTACCCACCGTGGCTCATTAAATTCTAAAAAAATATTTTTGGCCTCACTGAATTACAGACTAGACAAATTCCAAGAAACGTCAAGATGGAATAATAATAATACTCACCAAGAATATTTTCAATCAAAGCATTGTCTGTAAGAGGGATTCTTGAGCCCTTAATTTTAGCAAAACCTCGCTTGTATATCAAATCTCGTACTGTCTTTAGATTGGGTGTTCTGTAAAGATAGTTATATTGTAGTCTACATCATCAGATTTCAAATTCCACAAACATAAATAAAACATGAAAGACATGATATTCCATTTCTTCTAGGTGGTTTGTTTTTTTTACGCTGTAGTTTTTCTTTCTGAACTAACTTCCTAGTTGTACATAAACATTTTTTGTACCTAAACTGTATTTCATTGAAAGATAATCTAGTTTTAATCTAACAGAGAGAGAGAAATAGAGTTTATGTCCACTCGACACAAACTAGGTCATTTCAGAACTAACAAATGGTTCAATTTTATTTCAATAATTCACTTGCGCGTAGGGGTCTTTAGCTGTGGGCGGAAACCAGAGGACCTGGAGAATACCCACGAGGTTGGTCAGGCGACCCAACTTCTTGCCACGTACAACCAGGGAATCGAAACGCCAGTTGACTATGACAAAGTGCACATGCTAACCACTCAGCCATCCAACCCCAGTTTTAATGTACTAACTTACCCCCATGTGATGTAAGGTTCAGCTAGTTTCAACATGTTGCTGGTAGCTTTGTTCAACCTCAGAAAGATACCATTATTAATCTGTCGTAAACGTAAAAGTTGCATGATCTTTCTAGGTCGAGGATGGATGTTATTGATACTGTAGAATAAAAATACATAAAATAACAAACTGTTCAATCACAAACATATCTTAATAAAATATATTAACAGGGGTCTGTTTCGCAAATTTTAATTAAGGTAAAATCCTAATTTTAGTAATTTGATTGGATAGTATTAGACTGATTTTAGTGCTTAGCCAATCAAAATTGAAGTATCTACTAAAATTTGGATTTTATCTTTAGTTAAGATTTCGAGAAACAGGGCCCAGTTCGGTTCTTTATGATTTTGACTTTTCTAGGACTTTCAAGTCTAACATAAGGTTCAATTTTCTTTTAATAATTCGCTTGCATCTAGGGATCTTTAGCAGTGGGAGGAACCCCTGGTTGGGCAGGAAACCCTGGTTGGGCAGGAGACCCTACTCTGTGTTACATTCAAATGGGGTATCGAAACAATGCCACTTGACTAAATGACAGACCTGATAATGCAATGCGCACGCATTAACCATTCGGGCATCCGAATCTCTATCTAGGAGAGTTTCTGGTCAGGCACTTTACAGTTGAAAATGTTCCCCAAAATTTCCAAATATAACTTCATATCATTGACGACTGCTTGAAAGTCTTGTGTATGCTACATTAGAACTTCTAGTCCTGGCTATGTAGACTCTAAACCTTGTACTGTTAAGTATCTCTGCTTAATTAATTACTCAACACACCACTCGGAAAGTAATCAGTTAACCGGGCACTTGTTATTGTATGTAATGCAAGTTGAAATATATCAGTGATATATAACATCAATGAAGTAGTATATCAACTTGTAATATTTCTCTAGCAAGCAGTTTAATAGAATCATGATATACATATCAACTTCTGAGTGCAGCTTGCATTAACTTCCCTAGTCAACAGTCACTTATACATTATGTAAGAGCTAAATCTGCCTATTTTAGGTCTTTCTTTAGGCCTTAAATGTTATCTAAATTATTAAATTACATTAACATATCCAGGCCTTAATCAACTCTCGATGGCATGGCTAGCCTACGATATTTATTGAATTAGGTTCCGATTTTCTGGTCAACTTTTATTCATGATTTATTCATGAAATGGATAATCAAGACTGTTTTTATCGTACCGACTTTAGTAATGATGACCGAGGCTAGGACGAAAATTCAATTGCTAAAATCTTGGTTCAGAGTGGATCAATTTTCAGAAAATTCACTTTACATCATCTAGTTTTTAACTATTATAGTGAGAACTCTTTATCTAATCTCCCAGAATGTATCTTTAACAGATCCAGACCATACTCAAATCTCTCCTTTAACACAGTCAGTTTATTTTTGCAACTAAAATGTGTACATGGGACCTTGGTTTTCCGTTCCACACGAACAACTAAATGGTGTCTCTTGCTTGGCCCAGTGCCAAAAGTGAACATGGACCAAAGAGTACTATAATACTTGTTCAACATAACCTCTATTTCTCATGACACCATTCAGTCACCCAAGTCTTCCACCAATCGTTTAACTTACCCGCTAATTCTCATGACAGACATGAACCATGTTAAACCATTCAGTCACTCAACCCTTTTTTCAATCGTTTAACTTATCCTCTAATTCTCATGACAAACGTTAACCGTGTAAAACCATTCAGTCACTCAACCCTTCATTCAATCGTATGACTTAACCTGTAATTCTTATGACGGACCATGTGATGTAACCCTCCGTTGACCCTCTAATTTTCATGATAGACGTTAAAGGCATTATACCATTCAGCCACCCATCCCCTCAATCACTTGTTCAACTTACCCTCTGATTCTCATGGCCATATGATCCAACAAGCCATACCCGTCCCCATCACCCCCAGTCACTTGTTTAAAGATACATTATGGGAGATTTTTTATAGAGAGTTGGCCATTCTTGCTATAACAGTTCAAAAGTAGATGATGAAAGAAGAATATATTGAAAAATTCAGTCAAATTACTTTATTCTGAACATAGTTATCATCGTTGTAATATTTGCTTAGAAATGGTAGCGAATTGTGTCTTCACCTTCGCTGATCGTTTGATTGACAGGCGTTAACTCCACCTACATATCTCGATTATCAAGTAAAGTTTTCAATGGCATACGGAAACGCTTTACAGCTGCCTCGCTAAGTACACTCTATCATCTAGCCTCGATCTAACAGACGTATTTTCATCAGGTTACCCCTTATCTGATTTAATCAATTAGTGAAATCCTATTTAAATTCGAGCTGTAGCCGAGCCATCCTTCGGTCTACAGAGTTGATTTTGGTCTTGTTGTTTAAATAAAGATCTAATTTATAATTTCTATAACATCTGAAGCCTAAATTAAGACTTGCAATAATCAGATTTAGCTCTTGCATAATGCATGTTTAACTTACCCTCTAATTCTAATGCTAACCATTAAACGCATTATACCATTCAGCCACCCATCCCCTCAATCATTTATTTAACTTACCCTCTGATTCTCATGACGAAAACAATTTTAGGTTCAGCTGGAACGTAGAAGTTGTCGTGTTTAGCAGCAACTTTAACCAATCCTCTGGCTTGTTTCTCCATGGTGCGGTATTCCTTCACGTATGCCTGGGCTCTCTTGAAGATTAACTTTCTCTTCTGTTTTCTTTCCTTTAAAGTACAGATTTTTTTGGGTCAATATCAGTATTGAGAGAGAGAGAAAGAGAGAGAGAGAGTTCAACTCCATCACTTGACACAAGCTAGGTCAATTCGGGACAAACATATGGTTCAATTTTATTTCAATAATTCGCTTAGCAGGGAATCGAAAACCACACCAGTTGACTCAACGACAGACCTTAGGATACAACGCACACGAGCTAACCATTATGCCCCCCCCCCCCCCACAAATCAAATATTAGTAAGGACTTTCTTGTGCATGTAAGTGAAACAAGAAAAATAAAAATATAAATTATATACTATCTATATAAAAGTCTTATTGATTTATGTTACAATGTTTTTCGAACTATTTTGTTGGCCCCTTACTGTAGCCCTATCAGCACTTCGGCTCGTGTACAATGGATTAATTAAATATGGATCTCTTTTAAAGAGATTATTACAATTCTGATCGATTGTAGATTCGTTAAAGGGGCTATCCCAAATGATATTCTTTGATATATTTGGGTCAACACTATAAAATAAAGAAATGGCCTATTTATCTTGTCAAAATATTTAACTTTTCAAAATGAAAATGAAATTTTCCCCGCGACATACAACCATTCTGTCTAGCCTAGCTTGCCGTTACATGTAAGTGAAATGGGGCTTACGATAACGAGAAATATTTGTCCAGGTAGTGACACAATCTCTTATTTTAATTTCCAACTGTTCGAGGACGTTTTATGGTTCTGCTGGGGATGGATTAACAATTAAGTAACGTAAGTACATGCTTTGGTCATCATTCAGGTGGAGGCACCACTTACTATATGAGCTGAAAAATTTAGAATACGCAATTTAATAACTAATTAAGAAATGAAATGGGGTTTAAGATCTTACTGTTCTGCTCCGACTGAGCTCATGAAGACCATAAGCTAGGAGGGAAATTTTGTTAGAGCAGCGGAACTATGGTCTACTACTACATCGAATTCGAACCGCCAAGGGATCTTTTACGTGCACATCAACGCGTGACCTCGTTTTTTGTCACATCCGAACAACTAGACAGCTGTCCTTGTGAGGTCCTCCATCTTGCACCACTAACACGAGGAAACCATGTTGGAAAATCTCGAATTTTCTCTGCGCACGTAGCCACATGTGGCTCCAAATTAGCCTCAAGATACAATGTACATCAAGTAACCATCAATCGTAAAAACATATACCTTTCTTTGAGTGAGAGCCTTGGCCTTGACTCGTTCTCGGTGAACTTTGTGTTCCTTTCTCCTTTTCAGGAGAGATTCTGGCACCTGGGGTTTCTTAGTACTGCAAATATACAATCAAAATATTAATTGTTGTCAAGGTGTACATGTACGTAAAACATTGACTAAAACATTTAATTCATAATTTTAAGTTGAGCCAGGTTACTATTGTTAATACTTACGATTTTTTTAGATGCAGACATAAATGAAATGAAAATTTGGGGTTTACTGTTCAGCACCGACTGAGCTAATGAATACAGAGTGAGACTGACATACACTGTGCTGTGTGAAAAAAATTTTGCCAGGGCAGTGGTGCTACAGCCTACTCTTATATCTGCCATGGGATCTTTTACATACATGCCAATATGTACACAGGTCCTGTTTTCCACACCATTCCAACAACTATGTTGTCCCTTGCCAGGCCCTCCTTCCTGCACTACTGTCAAGGAGGAACCATGACGGAAAAACTGCTTAACTTTCTCGGCCAATGCAGGGATCTAAAACAGGTGAGCCAACGTTCTACTCACAGAGCGACAGTGGTTCCACCTGAGTGCCCGCGTCCAGACTACTCTTCACCCAAGGATTTTTGGTACTATTTCAGTAACGTACCTCTAACAGTTCCCATGATCGTAGAGACTTGAAATTTTCAGGGGGTATTCACGGGGCCTAGCCATGACCTCACACCTAAATAGTCAACAAACAAAATGGCGTCAAAATCGGATAAACTTATCTCTTATAGAAGCTAAACTACGGTAAAATCAAAAGTTATTGACCGATTCGGCTGATATTTGGTGTGATGTCATGGCTAGTCCCCGTGAACACCCCCTGAAAATTTCAAAAGTCTCTACGATCACAGGAACTGGTAGAGGTACGTTACTGAAATAGTACCGGATTTTTAATGTGTGAGCTATGCAACAGAGTACACAAGACCTCTATTCCATCATTTTCCAACTAGACATTGTTTCTTGCTAGGCACCCCTGACAACGGGAAATATCAGGCTGGACAATCAGGATGAACTTTCCAACATGCAACTTCCAGGCTCCTAGTTTGAGAGCCAGCTGCATTACTGACCGAGTCACATTTTCTTTTCGGACATTTATGAAATAATTCTATTTCTACTGTTCTTCACCCGATTCTTCCAAAGATATTTGACAACTTCCTTTTTATTGAGTTTCAAGTGGATTTCAGGTATGGCAAAGGGGAAGTTACTCAGGTTTGATGTTCATCCTCATGGCTCATCATGATTGTTACTGCCATGGTAGTTTTTAAATCAGTCGACTTTGTAGTCTTGATTTTAACTCTTAATTAGATGAGCCTACAAATCGTTATCTTTCTGAACCTGCCATAACACAGTTACAAACGCAAATATAGGAAATGACACAGCGTCTACTGAATAGAAGATCAACTGAGTCAACTCTCATAACATCCACTCTAGTTTTGTATACAATTTTGGATAGGATGGTCTGTGTTCCCCAATGCATTTCTCGGCAATCAAAATATAAGCAAAGATAATTTATTGATCAAAGCTGAGATAGATTGTTTGGGAATATTAAAAACGCAAATTAAAATGTGTTTAATGAATATTATTGAGGATGATAATGGATAATTCAACAGGATTTAAAATTTCACGTACGTCGCCGTCATGGTGCTTGATGAAAAAGAACGCGTTTCCGGTTTGATTTTGCGACATCAAATTACTTGTGGAATTAGAAATTGTATATTTTGAAAGTATTTCCTGTTTTTGATTCAATTTGAATTTAATTTTTCTATTTGAAAAATAAATGAATATGAGAAATAACAAATATTTGAGGCATTCTGTATATTTACGGCATTTTAGAATAGTAGTCTTGCATTGTCCAGCCTCACCATAATAGATATGAATCCGACGAATATCGACAATATCTACAATATATATACACTGTTCCAACTGCCAATGACAGACCGGTAGCCAGCGGGGGGCAGGGGATCGCAATGCCCCACCCCTGAAAAAATGTTCCCCCCCTACCGAAAAAAGATTTGCCGACCATAGCTCTAAAATACCTACTTTAGACTGTGCCGAGTGGTCTTCCAACATAAATTGATTGGTCCGAGTGGTCTTCCAAGCGAATTATTGAAATAAAATTAAACCACATGTTAGTCCCGAAATGACCTAGTTTGGGTCGAGCGGACGTTAACCCCATTTCTCTCTTCTGTAGAAAAATATTGAGAGCTCAGATAATCGGGACTTAAACCTAAGCGAGATCTGATTGGCTAATCTAGCGTGGGAGCGATGATGACCTGACCTTTGAACTCTAGAGATCAAAACAATCCAATGCTTGATTCACCTGTCAATTCGCACGTTGTTCTCCGTGTGGGAATCTTCGAAACATTTATTGACAGTTCATGTCCGCGGACAAAACAACGGACTCAATCAAAGGATGTCTGGACTTGGAATACCTCCGCGCAGTAACAGCAATGGCAGCACTGGAACGGATTGTCAGTCGGCAGAAATGAACATTTTTCAAGAGCTAATTTTCACATTAAAAGACATTGTTATGGCTTTTGTTGTGGCCATTTTTCGATTCTTCGTGCCTCCGGCGAGAAAGTCAGTCAACGATGAAATTGTATTAATAACGGGTTCGGGTAACGGAATGGGTCGCCAGCTTTGTATTGAGTTTGCTAAATTAGGTGCAATTGTTGTTCTGTGCGATTATGATAAAAATTCCAATGAAGAGACACAGAGATTGATCAAAGAAAACGGTGGACAGAGTTACAGTTATACATGTGACGTCAGGTGAGTGTGACGTAATTGGCTTAAATGACAGGTGCTCTACTGGGGTGTTCCCACTTACCTGGCAGGCTTTGATGTCAAATTTTGCCGCTAATCCAGAATTAATCCTAGAACAATGGTGTTATAAACTATAGTCCATATCTTTTTTAAGACTAAAACTGTATTGATTTTAACAAATTTAACTTTTATTAAATAACATTAAATAGCTTATACATATAAAAATATATTGATTACAATTTACACATATAAAAATATATTGATTACAATTTACACATTTAACTTTTATTAAATAGAATTATTTAACATTAAATGATTTACACACATAAAAATGCATTACAATTTACCCATTTAACTTTTATTAAATAGCATTATATAATTTATAAATAAATGCCTTACAACATAACAATCATTTTACAGCCCCACTAAATAGGAAATATTTGTTCCATACCGATTTACACTTAAAGAGCCATTTAATAACTGTATTTTCAAATGTTCAATTCTTGTATCAAGTTGTCGATATTTCTTAACTCGAGGCCTTTTGGTACCACCAAATAATATCTGTGAAATGGTGATTTCGACATAGGATTGTTCTTGTTTTATTAAGTTAATGAACTTGTAAATATTAGGATGGCATGCTGTCATTTTATTCAACTTAGAATGCCAACTTTCTACGTGGTTGGTAGTACGGGGCCCTGTTGTATCAAAATGGTTCCACACATTACGGCCATTGTCATATAATCAGCGAACCGCCCTACTTGTGGAATGTTTAAATCTACAGCTTCCAAAGCAAAGAACCAAAAATCCTCGATATCACACAGTCTTATCAGTGGCAAAGCTGATGCGTGGCGTACAAATTGTCTTATAAGAGGGTTGTCCCGGAATAATGTCTGGAGTCCACAACGTTGAACAGCTTTCCAAATGGCCTGGCGAAAATGAAACATGCACCCTTTAACATCAGAATTAAAAACAATCCTTGCGGCATTTTGTGCTGCGGTCTCAAAATCGGTAAATATTGTTGATGGGTTCAAATTTAAACCAATGTTACGGTTCTATCTAATATTATCTGAAACATTTGTTCGTAGGTATCCTGTCGCTTATTTGCTAGCAAAGCTTACACGAGTGGATACATTTTTCCATCTATCATTGAATGAATTGTATATATCTGGTAAAAAGGTTTGGGCACATACTAAATGTTCCGTCACAAAAATACGAATCACTGCCAGCAAGAAATCGTAGATTTTCATCTGTTGCAAATATGCACATATTTCTGTCTGAAAAAAGCAGGAACCGGTCACCATTAGCTGTAGTTTGGTATGATTCTGTAAGTTCTATGTCCTGGCGTTCTTTAGGTAATGTTGGTAAAATTTTTGATCGTGAGCGGTATAAGGCGGAATGGATGGAATAAAAAGTTGGCACAGACTGTATAACTTCAGTAACCTCCTCAGTTCGTAGACCTGAAACAATATAAACAATTAGACATATAGAACTTACTCAATAGAAATAATATCAAAACATTTTATTTTCAGTTTGGAAATAAGGTTCATCAAGATTAAATGGCACAATTTACTTACTAGTTATTTGTTCTTGATAAATACTTGGCATTGGTCTGTGGTCAGTTTTTACCAAATCCATCATGGATGACAAAAACGTATCAACTTTAATCTTTACATTATCTGGTTGATGATTGTGTTCGGATCCAAGAGTGGTAAGAACATCATTCTTGGTGTTTACAGTAGCTGGACAAGTTTTTGTTGATCAATTTCAATGGACGGCATTAGGTCTGCTTGACTTTATACTGAACTTGTAAGCATTGTGTATTAAATATCGGCCTCCTCGATTATTGGAGATAAAGCGAATATTAACCTGAACGTTTGCCATTTTAAAATAAATATAATTTTGACACAGATCGACCATCTATTTATATTAATATAGTGAATTGAATTCATGTTTGAAATCATAACACCGGCATGAACTGTGTTCAAAATGTCATTAAATAGTTGGTTAATAAATTTTATTAAGAGGGATTAAGAGCTCATTAATGCTGAACACTAGTGAACAGTTCTTGAGTGACTACTTTTAAACAGACTATAGTTTTAAGATCAATCAAAGGATTAACAGCCTGCCGGGTAAGTGGGAACACACCGCTCTACTTGCTGGACCACACGTGATTAATTATTAATTGAAGCAGCGTTAATCATGACATTGATGTAAACCCAAAACATCTAAAACATCTGGGATAAACTAATTATTTTACAGTTATTTGATAAAATAATTGCAAAATCTACCGTACAAATGAGTGTTATCCTAATTATGAAAATTAATTTAAAAATCAACTTATTGAATTTTGTATACCTACGTTTCTTTGCAAATATATATTCTACTATTATTTTCTTATAGAATTACATAAGTGACTTGTTTACCACCAAATGCTATAGCAGCAGTAATGAATCCATAGGTTAACTTGTTTTTCTATAGTGTCTCACAATTTTCTATAGAACTCTGTATAAAATTACACTTAGAGAAATCTGAACTACAAATCCTATGTGAAACTGTTTTTATTATTTCGAATCTACAATTTATAGAATCCCACAAAATAGTAACCCACACGTTTTTTTTATAGAACTATGTAAGAAATTACACTTGGAAAAATCTCAACTACAAATGTGAAACTGTTTTTATTATTTTTGATCTAGGATCTATAGAATCGCACAAAATTGGAACCCACACGTTTTCTATAGGACTTTCTATCATAAGGGCTGCACCGCACGGTTCACCCATTCAATCTTATTCCCCCCCCTCGTCCCTCCTCCGCACCTACAGTGTACTTCTTCTTCTCAGCCCCTCTACATGTACACTGCATTCGGCCATATAAATATACTTGTGAATGGTTGTATTTTTTCCAGTGATCGTGTCGCTGTTTATTGTATGGGAGAACAGATTCGCAAAGATGTTGGTCATGTGACTATTTTGATCAATAACGCTGGTATTGTAACGGGAAAGAGTTTATTGGAGTGTCCTGATGACCTCATCGAAAAAACTTTCAACGTCAACTTATTGGCACAATTTTGGGTGAGTTACTATACATGTAATTCTAAGTGTTATTTTCTAAGGGATGTTTTTCATATGTTTCAGTTTATTTAGTCTTATCTGGGGGGGGGGGGGGCGATTTTGTACTTGGACCAGAAGGTCTGTCATTGAGTCAAGTGGTGTGGTTTTAATTCCCGGCTTGTACGTGGCATGGAGTAGGATCGTTTGTCCAACCTCGTTGGTTTTATACGGGTCCTCTGGTTTCCTCCCAATGCTAAAAACGCCTTCGCACAGGCAAAATATTGAAATAAAATTTAACCATATTTTAGTCCCAAAATGACCAAGTTTGTTTCCAGATGACCTTAAGCCCCATTTCTCACTTTCTCTTTCTCTTCGTCTTATCTGGATAAGTTGTTGAACAATGTAAGATATACAAAGCAATGAAATAAAAGAATTACATGTAACCCCCTTAACTTCAGACCAAATCTCAACTATACCGCTGGTTGCCATAGCTTACAGGCATGCTACCAAAATGTACTCACATGGGTACCAGTATGTGCTTGCCATGATTAACACGTCTTTTGATGATGCAATGATTCTAGCAGACAGATTACGGCAGTGAACTGATCATTAATTATAAGTATTTAAGGAAGGAGGACTGCACTACACACAAAATGAAATGAAATGAAGTGGGGTTTAACGTCCTACTGTTTTGCTCCGAACTGGGCTAATGAAGACGGGCTTACGCCATACAGTGTGCTATGAGGGAAATTTTGCCAAGACAGCGGCACTACGGCCTACTCTTATATTGAATTCCAACTGTCAAGGGATCTTTTACATGCACTCCAATGTGTACACGGGACCTTGGTTTTTCGTGCCACCCGAAGGACTAGACAGCTTTCCTTGTCAGCCCCTCCGTCCTGCATCACTGACAAGGGAGAACAAGGGAAAAATCTGGATGAACTTTCTCGGCCAATGCATGATCGAATTCCCGACCTCCAGGCTAGCTAGCCACCGTCTTACCCACACACAAAACAAACCAACAAGACAAACTACACAGACATTTCAAGAAATAAACAACAAATATAAAATCAAGTAAATGGATCCGGGGTCTGTCCATGTTCCTTATAAGCAGGCCTGGAAATAAGGGTTTTAAATGTACCCGACAAAATGTCAGGCACTAATGAAATAGTACATGACGCTTTCAACTTAGTGCCAGACATGTATTAATAATATCAATAAAAAAGACAGATCGGTGTCAGATAAAATGACAGGCACCAGAGGTTTTGTGCCTGACAAAGCCTGAATCTATACATGACATTGTCAGTGACAGGTGCCTTATTTCCAGGTTTGTCTTAAGCAACATCTAACCGTTGCTAGAATAGTCAGACATTAATCTACCTTTACCGAAGACAAGTGAACAGCAGTGTCCAATCAGACTCAAATCAAACTTAGCCACCTCCACGGAAACCTTGACATTGAACGAACCTTCAACTTTTCAACTCGATTATCACAGGTAGACATTTTAGCTGGAAAGTGAGAGACTTGGTATTTGCGATGATTGAGGAATCTGATAGACTCTCAAGCTAGGCTTGTACACAATCGAAATTAGTGCCGAAATATGCTAGGCTTGTGAGATGTACGTAGTTAAAGCAAGATCAAGCCTTCTATTGAAGATGTTGTCTGTCATGATACTGGCTTCTCTTGATGAAAAAAGTATTGATTTACAACAAAGACGTAATAAAAATAATCAAACGATATTGTTAGAACTGTGACAGGAAATCTCCTCAAATAATCAAATAAAACACTATTTATGGATAACAATTACTATAGTTTATTACACTGTGACATTTCAACAAGATTTTACAAGTCATGTATAAATATCAACATTAATAAAATTGTGTTCCAATTATTAAATACCATTCAAAGAACTCCTCGAATAATATGCTACATTTGTCAATTTCTACTTTAATTATTAGAAATAAACTGAAACCGAACCATGATTCAAGATACATTATATAAGATTTAGATAAAGAGCTAGCTATTCTTGCTATAGTAGTTTGAAAATAGATAAAGTAAAATGAATAATTTAAAAATTTCATTCAAATTACTCTATTGCCAGCAAAGATATTAGTCTTTGAAGGTTTGACAAAAGATGTGCAATAATTTTAACCACCGTACTGGTTGTTCGAAACCAAGTCTTGCTCCTCCATTTTTAGCTTAAATCAAAATATGGCTGAACTGTTCTAATCTTTTTAATATCAGAGAAATCTGATGCCATCGAGATTTGATTATAGCCTGGATAAGTTAATTATCATTTAAGGCCTAAAGAAAGACCCTAAAAAGACAGATTTAGCTCTTGCATAATGTATGATTAATTTTGAGTCAAGTTATTACTGTTTGTAGTTTTGACAAGATGTGTACATTGTGGTAAATGGCGAACGGTTCTAATCTAGTTAAAATCTCGAGTACCCGATGCTATCGAGAGTTTATTATGGTCTTGTTTTGTTAATTAATGTCTAATTATAAATAGTTTAGATAACATTTCAGGCCTAAAGAAAGACCTGCAATAGGCAGATTTAGCTCTTGCATTATGTATGTTTAAATCACTCTCTATATTAGTGTGGGGGTCACTGTGGCTAAGTCTAAGTGGGTAAGACGCTGGCTCGCTAGCCTGGAGGTCGGGTGTTTGATCCCTGCATTGGCCGAGAAAGTTCACCCAGATTTTCTGGCTTGGTTCACCCTTGTCAGTGATGCAGGACGGAGGGCCTGACAAGGACAGCTGTCTAGTCATTCAGATGAGTCAAAAAGTCGAGGTCACGTGTACACATTGACGTGCACGTAAAAGATCCCTTGACAGTTGGAATTCGATATAAAAGTAGACCGATAAATTTTCACTCATAGCACACTGTATGGCGTATGCCCGTCTTCATTTGCCCAGTTCTCTTCATTAGCCCAGTTCGGAGCAGAACAGTAGGACGTTAAACCCCATTTCATTTTATTTCACTTGCAGCATTGGAATTAATGTATAATATCCTATACTTGACATTTTCTGTTGGGTTTTTTTGCCCATAATGATTAACTGACTCTTTATATTAGTGAGAAGTATTTTGTATAAGAAAACATATTACATTGTGTAACAAAAGAAGTCATCAGATTTGATTGATGTCATGTTGTTTGTCCCTCGATACAATAAAATCTTTTTTCTATTGATTTTGCCAATTCAATGAGGAATTGAAACATGATTTTTTCTACAGATTGTAAATTTCTAGACGCTTGTTGGGGGTTTTGATTTCTGTTATTATAAGAAAAATGACATTTACGTTAATAAATGTAATTTTGTTTGATCAAGTAGGTCATGTGTAGGCCTACTCCCACTGGATTTAACAGGATTCAGAATAGTCTACAAGAATTTCTTTTTTTATCAGCAAACCAAATGAATTGAAATTGGGTTTAACATCCTACTGTTCTGAGCTAATGAAGACGGTTATATGCCATACAGTGTGCTATGAGAGCAATTTTGCCTCAACAGTGGCACTGAGGCCTACTTAATTTTTTGTCCCATCCAAATGACTATATGTTGTCCCTTGCACCACTGACAAAGGGGTACCATGTCAGAAAATATGAACTTTCTCAGAAAATACGAGGATCGAACACCGGGTCTCAAGGTTTGCCACCTTGGCTCTTTTTATACTACCACATTTTCATGTGGATGTATATTGTTGTCGCCCATGTCCGTCCACAATTGTTTGTGAACACCCTACAGGTCACAATTTTTATCCGATTTCAATGAAACTGTGTACGCAAATTGTGTAGAAGTGTGTAATACGAAGGTTGTGGACCCTCTAGAGGTCACAATTTTTATCCGATTTTGATGAAACTTAAAACATATAGATCTCAGTTCCTTTTGATATTTGCACATTTCAGACTATAACTTTCTGGATTATTGCACCTGATTGTATAGAGAGAGAGAAATGGGGTTTAACTTCCACTTTACACAAACTAGGTCATTTCGGGACTAACACATGGTTTTAATTTTATTTCAATAATTCGCTTGCGCGTAGGGGTCTTTAGCAGTGGGAGGAAACCGGAGGACCCGGAGAAAACCCACGAGGTTGGACAGACGACCCTACTCCTTGTCACGTACAACCGGGGATTCGAAACCACGCCAGTCGACTCAATGACAGACTTTATGATACAGCATGCGCACGCTAACCATTCAGCCATCCAACCCCCCTACCTGATTGTATAAAAAAATCATGTTTGTTTTTAGGTTGTTCTCTATCCATCTCTTGCAAAATGTGGGCGTATCCTGTCTGGCAGCCGCTGGTTTTATTAGCAAACCTAATGAAATATCAAATTTTTCATGACTTAATTAAAGAGCTGTCTCTCTCTCTAATAATTAAAAAAAAGATAATGAAAAGGGAATATGTTGAAAATTTTAGTCAAATTACTTCACCCTGAGATGAGATATCGGCGATACAATAAAAGTGTAGCCTCGGTTGTCATTGCTACCTTTATTACAATAACAAACAATATCACAATTATCCATTTTTAAAGTAGATTATCAACTGCAAAACATACTTAAATGTGCTTAATATTGGAGGGGAGTTGGATGGCCAAATGGTTAGCACGTGCGCGCTATATCATAAGGCCTGTCATTGAGTCAACTGGTGTGGTTTCGAATCCCCAGTTGTATATGACAAGGAATAGGGTCACCTGTCCAGCCTCGTGGGTTTTCTCCGGGTCCTCCGGTTTCCTCCCACTGGTAAAGACCCCTACACGCAAGCGAATTATTGAAATAAAATTAAACCATATGTTAGTCAAGAAATGTGTGGAGTGGACATTAAACCCCATCTCTCTCTCTCTCTCTCTCTCTCTCTCTCGCTTAATATCGGTTGAGAGTTGATTATGATCTTGGTACATGTACATTGTACATGTAAGTTAATTAATGTCCAATTAATAATTAGCACAACATTTAAACATACATTATGCAAGAGGCTAAATGTGCCTATTGCAGGTCTTTCTTTAGGCCTGAAATG